TTTGACATAGTATGTTTTGGTTCTTAAAAGGACATTGAAGAAGTTTTTAACTGTTACATACCAAATACAACAGTTCGAATGTTTTGTGACCATTAAGTAACCTGCTTTTGAAAAGCATTAAATACAGGAAAATAAAATATCAATTGAAAATAGCAAATAGGATGTGGGTGGAGATCAGTGGTAGAGTACTTTTTACATAGCCTGCTTGAGGCTCTGGGTTTAATCCTTAGCACTACCCCCTCCCCATATGTGTGTGTGTGTGTGTGTGTGTGTATGTAATTTTGTACAGTAGTACAGTAATTTTAGTGTAAATACCTGCAGTCAGATTTACATACACACAAAATTTTAAAAAGGTTACCAGAATATTAGTTTACTCTGGGTGGTTTTATATATTTATATAAGTATTTCTGAAATGAAGTCTTACTACATGATGTGGTCAAAAATACAGTGAGGATTTACATAAAAATTTATTTCAGTAAGTCTCTTTTTGGTGAGTGTCTGATTGTGGCTGCCATGATGTTCTGAATCTACTCCAAACATTTATGGCAGTTTCTGTCAAATAAAAATGTTATGGCATGTTCTTACCTAGTTTATTTATTGGCTCTAACTCTGTGCCACTTCTGGATCTTTTTCGAAGTCAAAATGACTATGAAGGGTAAATGTTTGGAATCAGTTTAGGATTTTGAGGTAGCCATGACAGCGTAACTAAGGACATGAATGAAGACTCCCAGAACTGCTTCAGAAAGTGCCAAATACATGGGATAAGTAAGTTTAAGCAAGGAGGAATATGTATTTTGAGGAAGATTAATGACAAATGTCTTTTACTCTAATTTTTAAGAAAAATTTAAATATTCACTATTTCTTCATAATACCTCATGTTGCCATGCTGGCCTCTAACTTCTGGGCTCAAGAAATCCTCCTGCTTCAACCTCCCAAGTAGCTGCAACTGTAACTGAACTACCAACCTTGCCCTGCTCTGAGTGATGATTTTATTAGTAAAGATTTTATTTGACACTTTTTATTTTCTATAACAAGCATGTATTACTTAATATCACTAGCGATAAAAATTTTAAAAGGTAGCTGTAGTTGTTTTCAAAGGAGTTAATAATTTAGAGTTCAGAGCCAAGCATGGTGGCATTCACCTGTAATCCGTTAACTTGGGAGGCTGAGACAGGAGCAATCAGAGTTTGAGACCAGCCTGGCAACTTAGTGAGACCCTGTCTTCAAAAGGGCTGGAGATAGTAGGTCAGTTGTAGAGTGCTTGCCTAACTTGCGTGAAGCCCTGTATTCAGTTCCCAGTACCACAAACCAAATAAAAACAACAACAAAAAAACCCCTCAGATCTCAACTCAGGTTTTTCCAAATTAGTTTAATGATTTTATAAGTTAGCTATCCATAAAATTCTCTGGTTGAACAAACCTATTTATGACCAGCTCTCTGGAATGAAAAATGCTTTATAATAGCTGCTTTAATTTGGTTGTTTTCTGGGTATTCATGATAAATTTACCTTTGTGTTTTGGATTGTTGTTTTTTGTCGCATTTTCAGGTTTTATCAGAATCATTCTCAAAAGGCAAAGGATTCATTTTTTATTGTTTTTCCATAACTTGATTCTTAATCAGAGATTTCTACACAATACACTTTGTAAAAGCTTACTCTCACATTCTGTAGATATATTAATATCAGTGTAAGGCAATGGTATGAATATTGGGAAATACATAAATACATAGGTATTTGCCTTTAAGGACTTAAAATGTAGTTATTTCCATCTGATTTTTGTTGACAGTTACACGTAGTAGTTAGATGACTGTAACTGAAATCTGTTTTGTGTGGTTTGTTTTTTTGTTTTTTGGGGTTCTTTTGCAGTACTAGGGATCGAACTCAGGATCTTGTGCTTGTGAGGCAGGCATGGTGCCACTGAGCTAAATTCCTGGCCGTTTTTTGTATTTTTGAGACAAGATCCTGCTGTGTAGTCCAGGCTGGCCCTTAACTCAATATGTAGCCCAGGCTGGCCTCGAACTTGCAGTGATCTTTCTGCCTGAGCCTCCCAAGTGCTGGAATTACAGGTATGCGCCACCATGCCTTGCTCCATTTGTGTTTTATTTGGGGGGCAATTATTTGGAAGAGCTTTGTTCCTGAAGTTAAAAAGAGACCACTCAATGAAGAGAATAGTGCAGAAAGATTTGAATAATAGACTAAGTGATCTAAGTTGTTTATAAGGAGTAAGGACAAAATTGTTCTTAAAAGAAATTTTATTATGTAGAAGTAGGCACATTTTCATATGTTTTATGGTTATTAAAAAAGATCAGGAGTTTATTATCAATGAAATTTTTTTTTTCTTGGTACCGGGGATCAAACTCCTCGGGTCCTTGCTCTTGCGCAGCAGGAGGCGAAACCACTGAGCTAAATCCCCGGCCCTCAATGAATATTTTTTAAATGGGAATTTGGGTATAAGTGCTTAGTAAGCTCATATCTGCTGCTTCTCTGAATTAAAAGCCTGTGTAATTTTTATTTCATACTAGAAAAATTAACAATTATGTTAATAACAAAGACTTTGGATGTGATTTCATGTAGTTTAACAAATATTTGGAGGTCTTCTGAGTACTCTCAATGGGATTTAAGTTACTCATTGTTATTATCTATATACTGTATTTGGTGTGTCACCAGGAATGGAATTCAGAGGGTAACTAGTTCTGTTACATATTAATTTTTATTTATTTGCAGTCCTAGGGATTGAACCTAGAGCCTTCATACTGAATTACATCCCCAAACCTTTTAAAAAATTTTATATTTTGAGGGCTAGGAATGTAGCTCAGTGGCACTGCACCTGAGTGGCAAGCATAAGATCCTGAGTTTGATTCCTGGTACCAAAAAAAATTATATTTTGAGGCAGGGTCTTTTGTTAAGTTGCTGATGCCTGGGCTGGGCTCAAACTTCTGATTCTCCTGTCCCACTCTCTCAGAGTGCTGGGATTATAGATGTGTGCCATGCCTAGCTAGAAGTAGGGTTTATATATTTAGGAGGTAAGTCTTAGGCAGGGGATATAGCTTAATGGCAAAGTGCTTGACTAGCATGTGAGAGGCACTGGATTTGGTTGTTTTTTTTGTTTTTTTTTTTTTGGTACCAGGGATCGATGGATTTGGTAATTCTTAATTCTTAACAGTGAACATATAGCTTCAGTTGACACACAGAGCTGGAAAAAAAGCATGCACATGAACACAAAAACATTAGATAGTAAAAGATATGAGTCCAAAAATGGTGTGAACAATAATTAAGGAAAGTTTTTGGAAGGCTTACATGGCTTGGTGGTCAAGGAAGGTTTAATGGAGGCTTCTGAAGGATTAGTGAAATTAAAGTCAGCATCCAGGGCAAGGTTGATTTGTTGGGAGGAATAGGAGCAAAGGCCTAGATAGATATGTGTCTGACAAAATTAGAAAAGTAAAAATTGGCTACACTGGTTGGACCTTAAACGAAAAGTTATTTAAAGGGAATGAGATATTTTTGGGTTTTTGGACAGGAGCAATGTGGTAAAAATGTCCTGTTGAAAAGATTAAATGTGTTGGCAGCAGGCAAAATGATCAAAAAGGAGAATGTTAACCAGGTAACATTGCCCAGCTAAATTAGCATTTCATTAACATCATGTATAAAGAAAAAAGTGCATAGTAGAGGTGAAATTGTAGCTTGAACCAGAAAGTGATGATAACCAAATAAGATCAGTAGTGTGGATTTCCATTGGCATATAGAGAAGCCTGAATACTGTACTTCACATTGTGCATTAGGTATTAAAGTAGGAACTTGTTGCATAGCATAGGCATAGTGTATGCTTTTTAAGGAAGAGGGAAGGCAAGTTGTGGATGCTGACCTTGGTACTGAATGATAGCTAAAATACTATTGTATTTGAGAAGTCAGTTGGAGTGGGTAGTGCAAAACTCTCATAGGCCGGTCAGCATGCAGTTTTAACTGATAGAATTTGTGGGAATTGCAAGATCACCTTACTGACATCTTTTAGCAGTTAAAAGTATGGATTATGGAGCCAGATTACCTTGAATGCAAATTCCATCGTGGACACTGGTCTGTATGTAGTGGTTTTTTTTTTTTTGCTACTGGGGATTGAACTTGGGACCTTGTGCTTATGAGACAGGCCACTGGAACCACTGAGCTAAATCCCCGGCCCCGTCCGTATGTAGCTTAATCTCCCTGTGCCTTAGTGTTATCCTCTGTAAAACTGTACATATCTTGGGAGGTTGTGAGAACTGAACGGCTAAATCTGTGTAAAGTGCTTAAAACAATGACATATGGACAAGCTGTATAAGTTAATCTTTGTTATTATCCATATATTTGGTCTGTCACCAGGGAGAGGATTCAAAGGAAGAGTGACTAGTTCTGTTACATATTAAATTGTATGTTATAACCCGTTCTCTGACTATAGTCAGGAAAAATTATTGGCTGCACATTTTTACTTCATAAGAAACATTCGTTTAATAACGGGAATATAAGGGTAGTTTAATTGCTGTGTGGAATTAGATGTGAAGGTTGATTCCAAGGAAGACTGTATTACAGAATTGGATCTCATAAAACTTTAAAGTTACAGATCTTAACTTTCATTGTTTGTACATACGTCTGATTACTTAAATTTTAAGTGTGTGTGCATTTCTGAGGGTTTTAGTGTCTTCACCACCACCTCCATATTAAAACATGAAATCCTCAGTGTTTTTCAAGATTTAAACAGTTGTGATTACCTGTCAGCACCTAGGACAGCGCTCGGTACAACACACTATACATGAACTCTGGCTTGAGGTTTGTGTTTGTGTTCTGGATTCCTGGGAGGGAAAAGAAAGTTTCAGGGGAAGTTTAAAATCATGTAAGCCCTTACTCTAAAAGTATATGAAATACAGAGTGTGGTTTCATGGCTTTATTTCAAAATGTTTTACACTGGCTGTAGAACCCACTTCATGAAGTAGTTTGAATTAAAATGATCTAATATTTGTGTTTTAACTTTCAGCTTTGTGTTATTCTTGGAAAATTTCGCACCACTTGTGAATTCCTTGAACCTGGGCATTGCAAACCCACTTCTGTTGGGCCCATCTTCTTTGCACTTTGCTCAGATTAAGACTCAGTTGGCGCTTCAGCAGCTGAATGCCGTTGCCTCACATGGTTCCACACCACCTTATGCTTTATTAAATCAGGCATTTTTGAAAGTAGCCATGTCGAGACCCAGGTTTAATCCTCGAGGAAACTTTCCACTTCAAAGGCCACGAGCACCTAACCCTTCTGGGATGAGGCCTCCAGGACCATTTATGAGGCCTGGATCTATGGGTCTTCCAAGATTTTACCCAGCAGGGAGAGCCCGTGGAATTCCACACAGATTTGCTGGCCATGAATCTTATCAGAACATGGGACCACAGAGAATGAATGTTCAGGTAACTCAACACCGAACTGACCCAAGATTGACCAAAGAAAAATTGGATTTTCATGAAGCAGAAAAGAAGGGGAAACCTCATGGTAGCCGATGGGATGATGAGCCTCATATATCTGCATCAGTAGGAGTGAAACAGAGTTCTATAACACAGGTTACAGAGCAGAGTCCTAAAGTACAGAGCCGCTATACAAAAGAGAGTGCCTCAAGTATCTTAGCAAGTTTTGGATTATCTAATGAAGACCTGGAAGAATTGAGTCGTTATCCTGATGAACAGTTAACTCCTGAGAATATGCCATTGATTTTGAGGGATATAAGAATGAGAAAAATGGGACGCCGATTACCTAATTTACCTTCTCAGAGCAGAAATAAAGAAACGCTTGGTAGTGAAGCAGTTTCAAGTAATGTGATTGATTATGGGCATGCAAGCAAATATGGCTACACAGAAGATCCACTCGAAGTGCGTATTTATGATCCTGAAATCCCAACTGATGAAGTCAAGAATGAATTTCGGTCACAGCAGAGCATTTCTGCATCTGTTCCCACTCCAAATGTGATATGTAATCCTGTCTTTCCTGTGGAAGATATGTTTCGCCAGATGGACTTCCCTAGTGAGTCCTCCAATAATCAGTCATTTTTCCCAGTTGAGAGTGGAACTAAGATGTCAGGCTTACACATTACAGGACAATCAGTCCTTGAACCCGTAAAATCCATCAGCCAGTCTATTAACCAAGCAGTTAGCCAGACAATGAGTCAGTCTCTGATTCCTCCTTCTATGAACCAGCCTCCTTTTTCATCTGAATTAATTTCGGGTGTAAGCCAGCAAGAGCGGATCCCACATAAGCCTGTGATTAATTCGTCTGATGTTCATGTTGGATCAAGAGGAAGTAAAAAGACTTACCAATCAGAGACTGATATTCCCATTCAGTCTCCCTTTGGGATTGTGAAAGCATCTTGGCTACCAAAGTTTTCACATGCTGATGCCCAGAAGATGAAGAGACTCCCAACTCCTTCTATGATGAATGATTATTATGCAGCGTCTCCAAGAATATTTCCACATTTGTGTTCTCTGTGTAACGTAGAATGTAGTCATTTGAAGGTGAGTGTTTTTAAAGATCACTGTATAATGATGCTCAGCGCTCAGGTTTTCTCATGTATGCTGGTGTTAACTAGGCATTAAGGAAATGACAGATTAATTTTGATTGCAACCTCAGCAATTACTTGTAATCTTAAATAGCGCTGGATTTAGTACTCGATTGAGTGTTAGGCTTTCTGTATTGCTATGATTGGCCATACCACATAGTTTGTCCATTTATTTTGAACTTTTGTCTCATTTATGCAGCATAATGTTTATATAACAAACTGTATTTACAACACAATGTCATGAGTTATGTTTATCTAAATGGGATCTATTAACATACAAATATAAAAATTTGTTATAACTCATTTGTACTGTTCACTTTTAAAGCCAATATATTATGTAGACTTGCATGTACCTGTCTTGGGCTAAAGATATTTAACACTTTTAGAACATTTAATGTTGATTTAAATGCTTTATGATTTTTGTATGGGCCAATGATTTTTTTTGGGGGGGGTTGCATTTTTTGAGAAGGAATTTTCTGCAATAACTTCATAACAAAATGAGTCAGGATGCATTAATTGTTTTGGGACCAGCTGTAAGTTCAGAAAATGGCAGAAATTTGGAGAGAGAAAAATTTAAAAATAAGAAGGTTTAGGTACTTTCATTGTCAGCACAGTTTCGAGGTGTTAAAGAGTAATGTAGTGTAGGATATACTGTTTCATAGTGATCCATTGGTAGATATAAGCAGTAATTTCCAAGTAAGTTTTGTTCACTTGTGTATTTGGAAACCATTGGTTCTTCTGTTTACTAATGTGGACTTAGGTACTAATGGCAAGGAGGGACGTACCTTCTGTGGGAAGAAGCTTTGATTTAAAGCCATACCCTTGAAATGTTTGTACTTTAAAGAGGCTTACAAATCTATAGGTGTTAATTCTCTTGTTCTTTTTTCATCTTTCATGAGCTCTTCTATTCTGCAAACCACTCACCAGACTTCAGTCAACATCAGTCTGATACTTAGATCTGTTGCTGCTGTCCTAAGGTTGACTCCAGCAGAACACAGCATTCTGGGCTGTGATTGAGTGTATGCTTAGCATTTTCAAGTTCTGAGTTTAGTCACCAGTACCCATTGGGGCAAAAAAGGCAACATACGTACTATCTATTTTAGCCAGATTTACTGAATTTAATAAAATAACAGTTTCCTTATAACATCAAAAGGGATAACAAAGTGTCTTTCTCTCTGTGTTTTTGGCAGTACTCTTGTTTTTTCTTTTTTGCAGTACTGGGGTTTGAGATCTTTGTTTGTTTGTTTTTGACAGTAGGAGGGACATCACACTGACCTTGAGCTACATCCCTAGTCCTTTTTAACTAAGTCATTAAGTTGTCTAGCCTGGGCTCAAACTTGCAGTCCTCCTGCCTTTGCTTTCAAGAGTGCTAGGTTTACAGGCATGCACTACCACATCCATATTGGGGTAACAAAGACTTTACCTTAAAAAAAAAATCTTAGAATAATTCACAGCACTTAGTTGTATTCTGTAAGTAGCCTTGGCCTATGAACTGAATTGAGTGTTAAGCTTTCTGTATTTATTATTGTATATGGGCTACATAATTTTTCCATTTATTTGAGCTTTTAATTAGTCATGATGAATTGAAGAAAAATAGTTTTTAAAGAACTTGAAATCTTAATTTTCATTTTGTAGAGTAGAAAAGATATATACTTATTTGTTATGTTTTTACTGATACCAATTTTGTACATGATTCTATATTAGGTACCAGGAAAGAACTAAAAAGCTTTATAAAATTTCGATGTTCTTAGGCAGTTTATATGATCTCATCGAAAAGAAAAATTATATACCCAAAGAATTTTTTTTTTGTATTAAATTTTTATTGGTACATTGTAGGTATACAACACAATTACATTTCTCATTGGGAATTGTACCTTTACATAATGCATCTTGGTTCTTATTTTTTCCCCATTCCTAGCCCTCCCTTCACGCCCTCCACCCTTCCCTATTTACAAAGACTTTATTTCCATTTTTTCCATTTCTCAGCATTTTTCCTTTCCCTTCTTTCCTTTCCCCTGCCCCTCCCACTACCCCTACCCCTTTGGACCTTTTCTTCCTATTTTACATTATCGATTATTCATTCTAAGCATTGGTACATTTTAGGTATACAATATAATGACATTCATCATTGGAAATTTGCACCTTTGCATAGTCTCTCTTGGTTATTTTTTCACCCTTGCCCAGCCCTCCCTTCAACCCCTCCAGTCCTCCCTATTTACAAAGATTTTGTTCCTATTTTTCCATTTTCTCATATTAATCCCATTCCCTTCTATCCTTTCCCCTAGCCCTCCCACTTCCTTCCCCTTTGCTCCTTTTCTTCCTATTTCACATTGCCTATTATACATTTAGTCCTTATTTACACTTTCAGTTTCTCACACCAGAGAAACTATTCGGTATTTACACATCTGTGTCCTATTTATTTCACTTAAGAGTATGGCCTCAATGTGCATCCACTTAGCTAAAAATGTCTCTAATTTCTCATTTTTTATGGCTGAGTAGTACTCCATTTTATAAAAAAACCACATTTTCTTTATCCAGTCTCCAGTTGATGGGCATTTGGGCTGTTTCCAAGTTTTAGCTATTACAAACTGTGCTGCTATGAACATGGGTGCACATATATCACTGTGGTATGATTCTTTCAATTCCCCAAAGAATTTTTTAAAAGAAAGAACAACTGATTGAATGATTTAACTTTTTTGGGTATGCTTCAAGAGAAAGATATTTGCGTTTCTGTTACGAGTTCAGACTGGAATTATTATCAGTTTACTAATTATGTATCTAGCAGATGTGATTAAAAAGTATAAATATGCTTAGATAAGCCTAATAGTGTGACAGTTACTAAATGCACTAAGTCTGCCTGGACTAGAATGGTCTGGGAAGGAAGACTTCATGGAGTAGTTTGAAGATGGACCTTGAATGATGAATAGGATCTCCATGTAATACTTGTCTGAAGGGAAGTAAGGATTACATGCCAGATGAAGCAACAACATGTGGAGAGGAAAAGGTCCTGAGAGAAAACTACATTGCATTGTGGTAGGTTAGGGTTAGGGTTAAGGTTGGCAGTTGGGAAAGAGTGAGTGGTGCACATACTAGAAATAAGTGTAAAGAGCCTTGGGAAGCTAGCCTAAGGAGCCTAGATGTGGGATAACATGCATTAGTAAGCTAATTAAATTTCTTGATACGTGAAGTAACATGTTGAAAGTGTTTTTAGAGAGGTCTGACAAAATTGTCCAGGTGAATAGAAATGAGAAGAAATGGAGTTAAGGCACCTAGCAGCCTCCCTTGTTATTCAAGTGTAAAGAAGCCTAAGCTACTAAGAGAAAAGTAAAAATTTGAGAGGCATGAAAATCAGTTAGTGATCATTGGAGTGTAGAGTTGCCATTAAAAAATGCACAAACCTTTTCATATAGCACAAGATTGAAGATCATCTAAGTAATGAATTCCACTACTAAATGGCCAAATGATGACATGTGAAGATGGATTAAGATGGTACAAACTACCTCTTTCTGTGATGTACTTTGCTGCTTCAAAAGTTTACATATATATGACATTATAAATATATAGCTAATAAATATGAATTACTGATGATGAGTTTTTTCTTTCCAAGTAAATCTGATATAAATCAAGTAAATCTCACCTTTCAGGTTTTTAAATCATAGTTTGAGACTGCAGCAATAGAATGTGAAATAAAATGTGAATTGTGTTTCCTTTCTAAACTGGGCAGTTCAGACTTTAGAGGGACTTTCTTTGGTTTAGAAGCTTTTTCTGACTTAAAAGTAATTTGATTCAAGAAAATACCAACCAGCATAAGAATTTTTTGAGGTAGTTGGAAGATGGGAGAGCAAGTGTTGATAAAGATAGCTATTTTCAGTTTCATTTTGAGCATGCCCAAGTACTTGCAGTATCTTCTGTTTAGTAGGTAGTTACCACTTTTTCCTTGTAGATGCATTGTTGCTTTTTAATCGTTATCTAATACAGATACAAGTTACTAGAGAGTCTAGAAATTGGGATGGCATAGATATATTTACTGGGCTTAAAGCAAGTAGTGTCAACCAGTAAAGCACATCTGTTAAAAATGATAATGTGTATGTATATATGTGTATGTTGGATTGGAGAGATTACATCTTACGTAGGGCAGTTATCACCTTCAGTTTACAGATGCAGTAAGAATGCATATCCAATATTACTGTATATTCATATTTTTTCCAAAAAAGTTGGAAGTTGGATTGGGGGTAAAATTTTAGGATTTATAAGTGTTGGCGACTTTCTCAAAACACTTTATGGTCCAAATAAATTATACCCAACTCACTGCTTACCAGTGTGCTTGTCTGGTGTAAACAATGTCTAATTAATATCAAAGACATGGGTTTAGCACTACTAGAGACTCCTAACTGCTAGTCTTTTATTTGTATCACTGAGGAAGATATGTGAACATTTCTTTTTTGCAGGTCTCAATGAAATCATGGTGCAAAATAAAATACAGTGTAATTAGTTTGTCATAATTTGTTGCTAAGTACTACAAGTAGCATGTATGTTCAGATAGTTCTTGCAAAGGCAGACTCTGAAATTAGTGTCAACTGTAGTTTTAACTGTGGAAACTTGTAGTTTGTCTTTAGCAGTGACCCAAATTAAATGTTTTTGAAGTGGAAACAAAATTTTTCTCAAGGGAATTTTTAAAATACAGAATTGTTTAGTAATTGTTTTGCCTTTCCAAATACTGGAGGAACAATAAAACTTTTGAATAACATACATGTTGCTTTTAATTATTTCCTGTGGAGACTGTATGTTTAAAAACTATTGGCATTTTCTTTTTAACTGAGATGTATCTTTTACGAGCTATTTATGGTTACAGATTGTAATTTTAGGGCAGATGTATTTGTAAATGAAGTACTGTATAAGAAAGGATTTTGTTAATTGTAAAGCTCAATATTTAAGGGATACTGTGTTTTTTTGGGGGGGGGGTTCCGTTTTTTTTTTTTTTTTGGTACTGGGGATCAAACTCGGGTCCTTGCGCTTATGCAGCAGGCTGCGAAACCACTGAGCTAAATCTCTGGCCCGGGATACTGTGTTTTTGAAATGGTGCTTTCTTTGAATCTTGAAATAAATTAGATTTGATCACTAGTTTTTCATATTTTTAATAATTTATTTCCCTGTAAAGTGAGTACTTGGTTTTGGATGGTACTGGTCTACGAGGTAATATTTTTGGTTGTTGATCTTAGCTTGAAATTTAGAGGTTATAAGTAATAGAGATACTTTATTTTGAAGATGCCATTTCATACATTATAGAATTTTGGTATTCTCTGGAAAGTTATTATATTTGAGATGTTATTTTTTGATCTATTTTTTCTCCAAGCTTGAATATATATATATATATATATATATACACACACACATATATATTTAAAATATGTATATATAAAAATTGAGTGTCTGTGGCTATGATTTTTTAAAAACATTTTTATGTTAAAATATTTTTAACTGGGATCAATGAAGTATGGTGTTAAGTGTATTTGTTTAGAGGCCTTTAATTTTTGTGAAAATTTTAGTGAGTAGCCAAATGTTACTGATAATTAAATTTGTTAAATTTTTTAAAAAATACTTTGTCATTTAAAAAAGCCTAATTCATTAGTCAACATGGAGAGTGTTCTAATTTCAACACTTTTCTCCTTTTATAACAGGATTGGATTCAACATCAAAACACATCTACTCACATTGAGAGCTGTCGACAGTTACGTCAACAGTAAGAACATTTTTTTCTTTTCTATAAGTGGCAAGTTTACAAAATAGTTAATGTTCAGGCACAGCAGTGAAATACCTTAAGTACAATGGTTTATAGAAATATTTTAAAAGCCATCTACTTAAAATGTTAATTTTTTAGACGTATACTTAATATTTTTGTAAAAAGAGAGAATGCAATATGATCCTTCTTTTTCTAACCTAATTTCCATCATTTAAAAAAATATATAATTGGTTTATTTATTGGCTTGCCTTTCCCAGAATTCCCTTTTATCCTCTCCCCATTTTCTCAAAGGTCAGATAACTCAAAACTAACCTAATCTATATACCAGTACTTAATTTCCAATCTAACACTGTCCACTGGCTTTACTTTGTTTTCAGAGTAAATCTTAAGTAAGGTGAAGATTAGTTCAATTTGTCTACTTTTTCCTTCAAGACAGGCACATATGAAACTTTTCCCTACCAGCTGTAGAAGTAGAAAGTATGGTTGTAACAGCATTTTCCTGTATTCCTTGTAGTAACATAAAATTAAATTGTGTTTCTCTAAGCATCACTGAACATTTGCTGGTCACCAACTGATAGTATCATTTGGAGGGGGTACCGGGAATCAAACTCTGGACCTTGAGCACTTGCTAGACAGGTGCAGCTCCCCTGAGTACCGTGTTCTTATGCAAATAGTTTTTGAGATTATTATTTAGGACTCTTCCAGTCATAAGTGATGAAACTCAACTCAAAGTAATTTTTAAAGGAAGGGAATTTATTAGCTCATTTAAGTAGGAATCTAGGGATGCTTCTAGTTTCAGGAACAACTGAACTGGTACTTATATAAAAATAATTGTCTGAAATATTTCCATTTCTTGGCTGCTCTCTTCTGGATTGGCCTCATAAGAGCTCAGTTACATTGCAAAATGGCCTTTACCGTTCTGGACTTACATGATCTATATAGCTGGTATTTCTGGGAGCTCCCTACCCCCACCTCTTTTGCCCCATAGCTTTTGTATTAGTCCTTGGTTCAATTTTTTTAGTCCACATTGAGTTAGATGCCTATTGCTAAGCCAGTTATAGTGGCTGTGGGAACAGGGTACTCTCCTTTAGTCGTTGTCATGTTCAGTACTGCTACAATTGAAAGTGGGGTAAGCCCTACCTGAATCATATAGACAAAAAATAGAAATCGAGTTTGGTTCTGTATATAGAATGCTGTGCAGTCGGGCTGGGATTTAGCTCAGTGGCACTGCACCTACCTTGAAAGTGCGAAGTCTTGAGTTCAATCCCTGGTACCAAAGAAAAAATTAAAAATAAAGAATGCTGTGCAAACATGGGGAGATAATTTATTGCTTGATTGCATATGCCTTACTACGGCTGTAAGTGGAAAATCCTAAGCCTCGTATTCCTACAGGTACACAGTAGTATGTTTAATTTTTCATGAAAGTGAGGGTTTTAAGTAGGAGTTATTTGCTATATGTAATCATTCATGCTAGTAAGAGAATTTTAGCTATATGAAATGCCATTAATTTACTAGAATGAACAGCATGAATATGCCGAATATGCCTTTTAAAGCCTTCTGTGAGATAAGCCTTTTTTCTTTTTTTCCCCCTGCGCATAGGATCCTGGTTTTGAAGCATGTACTTTCCATGGTTGCCACTTTAATGCTCTATGTGGCTTTTTTTTTTTAATCTTATTCTGGTTGTGTGCTGTTGAGTAATTTTGCCATGGCTTTCTCTCTACTGCAAATTAGAATTCTTGTTTTTGTTTTTTGTTTTTTTGGTACTGGGGATGGAACTTGGGACCTTGAACTTGTGAGGCAAGTGGCAGAACCACTGAGCTAAATCCCTGGCCCTAGAATTCTTGTTTTTTTAAAAAGTTGTGTTCCATTGTGTGAATATACCTTAAATCAATTTATTTGTGTATTGCTGTAGATTTCGGTTTTTATTTCTTTTCCTAAGACTTAGGCTCTTTCCTTTCGTCTTCATTGACTCTTTCTAGATTATGACACAAGTGGTAGGTGGTTAACTTAAAAGATACAGTGCATCAGAATTTTAGTATTAAAGTTATACCATGCTTGTTATGTACTAGACATTATTCCAGGTGTTTTACATAATTGATACAATCTTCAAAGCCACCTGCAATATATAAATAAAATTATTCCTGATTTTACCATTGAGGAAACTAAGGCACAGAGAGGAAATTTCTTTACTGTCATATAACAAACAACAAAACTACTCCTAACTCATGGACCTTGGCACTGTTTTCAACATGTTAACTCTGCTCTTAGCTGGGCATGGTGGCACACCCTATAACCCCAGCACTCGAGAGCCTGAGGCAGGAGGATTGCCATGAGTGAGAGGGCAGCTTGGGGTACATAGTGAGTTCAGGGCTAGCCTGAACTACCTAGCACAAGGCTGTCTCAAAAAAAAAACAAACTACAAAACATACTAACTGAAAAATTTCTAAGTCACAAAAAGTTGAAAGAATAATATTCTTCATCTGTATTCACAACATGTACTGTATTTATTTTATCTTTATACTTTTTTCTGAGTTATTTGAAAATAAATTACAGACATTATGACATCTTACTCCTGAATTCAACATCCATCTCCTAAAAGTAAAGCTCTCTACATAACCACAATACTTCACGTTTGAGATTTAACAATTATATATAAGCCAAATTCAAATTTTTCCATGTTTTCCAAAATGCCTTTTATAAGTATCCTTGCCTGCCTCATCCACACCTCCAATTCAAGATCCAGTCAGAATGTATGCATTGTAGTTTCTTTTAATCTAGAAAAGTCCACTCTGTGATTGCCTGCCTGTCTGCCTGCCTCCCTCCCTCCAAGTTCAGGAAATTTGTCTTGTAGAATCTCTCACATTCTGTGTTTTGCTGTTCCTAAATCATTAAATTTAGGTTGGACATTTTTGTCACAAATCTCTCTTTTTTTCTTTTCTTTTCTTTTCTTTTTTTTGGGGCGGGGGCAAGGTCACAATCTGTAGTTCATCTTGGCCTTGTACTCACTATATAGGCCAGGCTAGTCTTAAACTCATGGTGATCCTCTTGCCTCAGCCTCCCAAGTACCGGGATTATAGTCACTGCCCACAAATATTTCTTAACCTTTTTTTTTTTTGGACACAAGGTCTTACTAAGTTGCTCAGGTTGGGTCTGAACTTTCAATACTCCCACCTATAATGTTATTTTTTAAGCTTTTCTTTGTTTTTCATCCTTATTTTTTGTTGTTTTTTCATATTGGAACACAGATAATACTAGTTACTAGGTCTTTTCTCTTAACCATTATATTATACTACCATCATTGTACTACTTCTAAAACATAATTTTGACTAATAAGGCAATATTTGAGTGGTCCCAACAATAATTGAAGAATAGTATATATGCTTTATCTTTTTGCCATGGGCTGTGAAGATTAGAGCATATGTTTTAGTAGGCAACCTAGTGAAGATTTAAAACATTATTACCAACTCCTTAATAATAGTCCTCCAGTTGTTGTGAACTATAAACTGAAGAGTTCTGGAAACATAGTAAGTTTTATATGTTGACAACCATTTTCCAAAATGTGAGAAAATAAGATTTGTACATATTAAGTAACTGGTTTTAAGGTACGGGACCCTTAAATAATAACACTTACACCTAAACTTACTTTTGTTGATTCCAAAGGTCTTCTTTTTAAATTCTGTACGCTAAGACTAGAAATTTATCTTCCTGGAAGGTCCAGAATAATGAAAATTTTCAAAAATTTGTGAGTACATAAAACAGAATTATCCATGTATTGGAAATTGTTGACAGTGAGTGATGTATACATTGGATTAAAGTTAACTTTTTTTGTCTTCATAGTTTGTCACCTTATAGTTAGATTATTTAGGCAACATATATACTCTCAAAGCAGAAAGAACAGTGCAATTTTTCCAGAATTCTGCCAGTCATCTTGCACCTATGTTTCATTGCTTAAAATCCATCAGTGGCTGTCTTCTAGGGAGGTTGGGAAAGCAGAGTATTTTTTTTTAGCCTTTATAATGGAGGACCGGTAAGATAAATGGGAGTTGAAAATTATTGTTAACTCATTAACATAATCTAAGGGAAATAGCAACAAGAAAAACCATTTTACCTCTACTAAAGGTTTTGATTTCCTGCTAGGTTAAAGAGCTTGCTGCTTCCATTTCTTTCCTGGCTTTTATTTTGCTACTAAGACTATTCCTTCCATTGCGCCCATCCTTCTTTTACTTTTTAATTTTGTTTTTTTTGAGACAGGGTCCTGCTATGTATTTTACCTCCCAAGAAAATTTTCATATTTCACTGTATTTACTAAATCACCATGTAAACAGAGGTTTTGAATAGTCCTTATAGGTAAAGATTAATTGAGCCTTTTGTTTTAACTGTTTATTAATATTGTTTATCTTCAAAATAGATATCCTGATTGGAATCCAGAGATCCTCCCATCAAGAAGGTAATATTTTTAATAGTATTGTTATTAAAAGTTGATTATTTTCTTTTAAGTGTAAACAGTTACTTTTTTAAAAAGTTAGTTTGAATTGTGTCCTGCTTTCACCATTTTTACTTTTGAACACTGGACAGATGCAGAGACCTCTATGAATGTTCCTTTATTTACTCCACCTTAGATGCAAGGCATCTCCTAAATTTTTTACTTAACTTAATACTTGTAAAATATAATTGGTACAGGGAAAAGCCTGAGAAACTGATGACAGTACTTTTCTGTAAACTAGAGAGGGATTCAAGCAATTAGAGGGCTCACCATGTGTTCTGATTATTTCTTCCATACTTCTAAGTTGAATTACATCATAGCATAGATTTTGTTGTTTGTTTTAAGTAAATACTTGTTACTAAAATTGGTATTGGTTTTTAAGAAAGTACTTTTGTAATTTACTGAAATTTAAATTTACATTAAATTGCTGGATTCTGCTTGTTTCTTTTTTCCTATTTTGTAGAAATGAGGGCAATAGAAAAGAAAATGAAACTCCAAGAAGACGTTCTCATTCTCCCAGTCCTAGGCATTCTAGGAGATCAAGCTCACGTCACAGGTTCCATCGATCACGAAGCCCAATACGTTATACGTATAGACCAAGAAGTCGAAGTCCAAAGATTTGTCATCGTTTTATTTCTAGATTCAGATCCAGATCCAGATCCCGTTCACCATATCGAATTAGAAATCCATTTAGAGGTAGTCCAAGATGTTACCGATCAGTTAGCCCTGAGAGGACGTCAAGGAGATCAGTGAGATCATCAGGTACACTGATGGCCATTAAACAGTGTTCTACTTATTTAAATTTAAATTCCTTCAGTTTCTTTTGTTTGGATTTTAAGAATGAAATGTTCTATTTTATCAAATTTTAAGTTGCTACATGAAATCCAACCCACATCTAAAAGTCTGTTATTCTTTTTGGAACAAATATGAGAGTGTTAATCTGTTCACCAACATCAAGTTTAAAAACCAAGGATATAAAAACATAGTTGACCTTAATAATTATAAACTTCCATTAATATATTTTAAATTTTTTAAAATTATTCATATTTTTCACTTGTCTCTTAACACTGATTTAATGACTTCCAGAAGTATTTTGTATATATTTAAGCTATAGAATGAAGGAGACTTTTATTGGTGCTTATAAAGTTCTTTGAACAAATTGTATACGATATTGTAAAAGTTTGAATATAAGTGGAAATATTTATAAATATATAAGGCAGCTGTTCTCATTGTGGTCCAAGGACCCCGAAGGGACTCACCAGGATCTTTTGAGAGTTCTGTGAGGTCTTTTCTGTTCCAACTACATGTGGGTGAGGGTGGATTTTCTTTATACTTTTAACCAAAACAGTGTATCCAGCCTGTTGAATGTAGAATGAGATAGAAATTTGGTATTTTCTTTTAAGCTCAGCACTAAGGTGTTTGGAAAAATGTATGATACTAGTCATCTCACTGTTTTGTTTTGGAAATTAAAATTATGTTTTATAAAAACGTTATTTAACATAGGAGTTTATTAAATGAATTAATAGTTGGTTTTTTGATTTTTAATTTTGGTATGGGGGAATGGAACTCGGGACCTTGCATTGTGAGGCAGGTGGCAGAATCACTGAGCTAAATCCCTGCCATGAATTAATAGTTTTAAAATTCTATTGTAACGTTTAATATGGTGAATCTCAAATGTAACACAAACTCTTTGGGGTCCTCAGTATAAGGGGTTTCTGCAACCAAAAAATTGAGGACTACTGATATAAGAGAAGATCATTAAATAAAGGAATTTCATGTAAAAGGCCTTTTGCGTGAACATGTAATAAAGATTTTTGTGTGTATATGCTTCCTATTGAGGCTGAGAATGACTGATAAATATTAATTTTTATCATAATGTTATTAGATAGTTCTTTAAGTTCTTTTCAATTGAAGTTGTATTTATATCTTTTTTACTAGATAGGAAAAAAGCATTAGAAGATGTAGTACAACGATCTGGACATGGGGCAGAATTTAATAAACAGAAGCATCTTGAAGCAGTTGATAAAGGACACTCACCAGCACAAAAGCCTAAAATTGTCAGTGGAACAAAGCCATCAGTTAAATCTACAACCTCTACAAAGAGTGATACAAATTTAGGAGGACATTCTACTCGTAAATCAAAGAATCTTGAAGATGACAGTTTATCAGAAAGTAAACAGGTGTCTGATAAAGCTGTCTCTCTCCAGCGTAAGGTCAGTAATTCTTTTATTAGTACAGGTGTACATGTATTTCTTAATATGATAAATTGAAAACAAAGTTGTCTGAATTATTCCACATTTCTGATACTCCAAATTTGAATTCGACTTGTTAAATTATTTTGTTGAGTTTTTTATGGGTTTCTATTATGAATATAAAAAAAATCCAATAATTCAAAATCTTAAGAGTTTAGGTATGCTGGAGATATTACCGTGATGGTTTGATAAAGTTTTTAACTAGCTTCTCAAGCAGCTCATTGTGATGAGCTTTGCTATCTGAGAAAGTTAATGTAGTCCACAGCATTAATGAGCTTTTATAATGTTAGTAAATTACAAAAATAGGTCTCTACTGAGAATTGGTAATTGGTCTCTTTTAATACTTTCTGAGGTATAGTTCAGAAGTCATTCTCTTGTAATAAGAATGTAGAATAATCTTTTTCTTTTTTCTTGGTACTGATTTATTGGTGTATTTTGACTATAATTTGCAAATTACAATACTGAGATACTGTTAACTGTGTATTTTATTAAATTACTGTTAACTTATTGCAACTCTTTCTAAGCCTATTAGGCCTGATTATCATTTAGTGTATTGTAATATTAAAAAGTCTTCAAGTATTTAGGTGTAAATTGCTTTCAAATTTGTCTAAATATATTGAAGACTTCCAGCTACTATTCCTTTCTTCAAAGAGGTTATATTTGAAAAGATAAATTGTAATAGTCAATGTAATTACAGAATTTTGAAGAGCACTGGGAAGAAATGTTGAATATAAGCAATATTTTGAAGAGGCAAAAAGTTTGAATTAGTCTGATGAGACTTTTTTGGGGGGGAGTTGTTTTTTGTGTGTGTGGTTCTGAGGATTGAATTCAGTTGTGCTGTGTCATTGAGCTATGTCTCCAGCCCTTTTTATTTGACATAGTGCCTTGCTAAGTTGCCTGGGCTGGCTTCAAACTTGTGGTCCTCCTGCCTTAGTCTCCTAGGGAGACTACTAGGGAGGGAGTACAGGCTAAAGTTCTTTTAATTTTGTTTCAAGACTTCTAGGTGATAACAGTGAAACTTTTTTTCCCAATTTAATTTGTGACATAGGTGGTATATTTGTTAGTATAGTTTATTCAAATGATATACATTATATATGAATATTTTCAAATATACCCGTACTTTTGAACTTTTTATATGTTAATGATTGGTTTATGGTCAGGATTCATTTTAAGTTGATTTTACAGATACACAAATACAAAATACAATTATGAAAGACCATTTTGCTTTTTAGCTGCCATTCTGAATATAATTTATTTTCCATTTAATTTTAAAGAAGTTTTGAAGAAATGTTTTATTTCAAAGATTTGCTTATATATTGATATTTTTCAAATTTCTTGTTTAATTTTCCCTTGTAACTTGAGACACCTTCCAAGTTATTGTGTATCTTTAAGTAAATAACTCTTATTATTTCTTCTTTTTGCACCAGGCATATTGATTAGGTTGATTTAAAATGAGTTAACCCTGGGGCTGGGGATTTAGCTCAGTGGTTTCGTTGCTTGCTGTGCAAGCGCAAAGACAGGAGTTCGATCCCCAGTACCCAAAAAATAAAATAAAATAAAATGAGTTAATCCTTACCCTCCAGACTGACTTTATTGTTCCTCCCAAAGAGCTTCCTAAGTAGTATTGAGTCATATCACTGAAACATAATTCTTAGATATGTTTATGCAAAAAATCCATGAAGTATTTAGAAGGCTATCCAAAAGCAAAACATTAGCTTTTGCCTATCCCTCACTTGTAAGACTATTGTCTGTCTGTCTGTCTCTCCCTCCCTGTCTCCCTCTCTGTCTTACACGGTTATTTATTCACTGATGGTGACATGACCCAAAATAGACTGTAAGAATCACCATAAAAGCTTTTGCTAGAAATATTGGTGGGCTTCTCTCTGCTGGGTTGGTAAGATTTTATATTATCAACTGTAACTGTTGGGGGGCTACCTTTGTAAGTGAAGAAAGCCTATGTATAAGTCATTTTCCCTTCTCTGAGACAAAATACTGGACACCCTCAAATTATAGAAGAGGTTCCTTTTGGTTCAGGATTATAGAGGGTTCTATGTATAAAGGTCAGCTTGCTTTGAGGCAGAAAATCATGGTAGAGGACCTGGTGGAAGATGAATATTCACTTCATGGCAGCCACAAATAGAGTGCCATTGTTTTTAATTATTAGAACACAGGATGAACAAAACTAATTTCAGCTTTCCTACATGATAGGCCATATAGAGTCATGTAGAAAGATAATCTTTGATGGCCTTGTACCATTCCATAGGTCTTGTGTGTTACAAGATAGTTAGAAACAGAGAAGAGCACCTATAAACTCATTACCAACGTTTGGTTTAAAAATTTGAATCATTTATCTTTAGCATTAAAAGTTTTTAAGCGCCGGGGATTTAGCTCAGTTGAGCCACACCTGCCTGGCAAGCATAAGGTCCTGAGTTCAGTCCTCAATTACAGGGGTGAAGGGTGGGGGATGGGTTTTTTAATTGTCATGGTGAATTTTGTTAAGCATTTTGAAAAGATCTATTAAAAGGAAAAATAATAGTAGAAATTATGTAGGGAATTTTTGTTATTATACTTTGTAGCTTGTTTGATTTATTTTTAATACTTCTTTTGCTTCAATAATAGTTTCGGAAAGAGCAGTCTTTACGTTATGGCTCAGTTCTTCTTGTGTCCGAATTACCAGAGGATGGCTGTACTGAAGAAGATATTAGGAAAGTATTTCAGCCATTTGGAAAAGTCGCTGATATCCTGATTGTTCCATATAGAAAGGAGGTGAGTTATTGAGTCCATTCTAAAAATTTGTGCAAAGTTGTGATTTTGTAAACTATTGTTGGATCTCTTAACTGCTTGTACTACATGTATAACTGTTCATGGAGAGCTATGTAATGTTTGGGTGTGAATAAACAAGGTCCTAAGGGATAGGCACTTGTTTTTGTAAAGGAAAGGACAATAAATATTTTAGGATTTGTGTAGTACAAAAGCAGCTATAGGTAATGATGTAAATGAGCAAATATCAGTGTTCCAAAAACTATTTATAAAAATAGATGGTGTGTCATAGTTTATACCAGTAAGATTACACTGAAGTAAATGATTTCCCTTGTATGTAAGGTAAGTAGTGTTTGCATGTGGGCTGTGTTCCTGTTTCTCACATGATAAACTTTGTTTTTATGATACTGGGGAATGAACTTGGCCTTTACACTAGCTACATCCTCAGGCCTCCTCCCCATTTTTTAATTTTGAAATTTTGATACAGGGTGTTGTTAAGTTCTCTAGGCTGTGTTTGAACCTACAGTCTTTCTGCCTTAGTCTCCCAAAATGCTGGAATTACAGATTCATGCTAACATGCCCAACTTCTCATGAAAATGTTTAGAACAGTGAGCAGCACTATATTAAGCAGAACCTAAAATTGTGAGTTAAGTCAAGGAACTTAATAGTAGTGTCATCTTTATTGTAAGAAGCTTTAAAAAGGTTAGACTTACAACAAGCCAGAAGAGGTCCTAGCTTTCCACCTGTTGTTCAGTTAGTCCTGCCTTCTTAGTTCCTTCTGTTCCACGAACCTGCTGTGAACCGTGTCCCTCCATCTTGGTAATTATATAGACAGTCTAAAAGGTCAGTGTGTGCACAGATCCCTACATTTAATACCAGCATTAAAAAAATCGTCTAAAAAAGTTAAATTCTGTAAGATTTTAAATATATGTGAAACATCTTTAAGATTGAATTACACTTTATCAAAACAAAAAGAGGCAAAAGCAGCCAGGTTTTCTTGTAATTTCAGTTTTATGTTCCATAAGAAGGGATTAAGTCCATTTTAAAATGTTGGGGCTTTAAAAGGTAAGTTTTTACTTTAAAAGAAATAAATTTTATTTTAGGCTTATTTGGAAATGGAATTTAAAGCAGTTACTGCAGTCATCAAGAACACTGATACAGTGCCTCTTCTGATAAAAGGAAAAAGTGTGAAAGTATCTGTTCCAGGAAAGAAAAAAGTCCAGGTAAATCGTATTTAGATCCTAGATATTTTATTGTTATTTTAACTTTTTTAAAGTATGGCATACCTGCAGAAAAATGCATATGACATAAATGTTAGCCCAGGACCATATGTGGATAAATTCAGACACATTGAAATTAGAAACTTATGACACACTCATATGTATAGTACTACCGGTAGTATTAAGTGACATCGCTAGGAAAATATACTTCTTTTGGATGCTTCATTGGTCTTAATTTATATATTTTTAAAATTTAAAGAGTACATGTTTGCAGTACATAATAATTATATTCATTGTGGGGAGTTGGTATATGTACATAGCACATCTTAATTCTTTTTACCCCCCTCCATCTCTTGATAGAATATACTTAACATATGTAACACAAAATTAACAAACATCTGTGAAACTACTACATTGACAGTATCCTAGAAGTCCTTTACCTGCTTCTCCTTGATCCTTAAACCCATCCTTCTGCCACAAGTAATCCCTGACTTGATTTCTAAAGCCATAATAAGTTTTGCCTGTTTTGAACTTGATGTAAAACAAAATCATTGATAGTACAGTCTTTTGAGCCTTTGGTTTCCTTAGAAGTGTCAATATTTATAAGTTCAGTATTTACCATTTCTATGCTTTAATTTAAATGTTTGTAGATAATATCTATAGAGTTACTTAAAATTTCCTGTAAGTTTTTCTTTGTGTAAATGATCTTTGTGTTGGGGTGAAATTTGAGGATTATGGAAAATCTAGTAAGTTAATGAGATAAGATGAGAAATGTGATCAGAATTCAGATGAGAGTTTAATTCAGAAAACAATTAGGCATCTGTTATGTGTCTGGCATTGAAGTATGTGCAGAAGATGCAGTGGTGAACAAAACATACGGTTTTATATGACCTTACAGTCTGTTCGAGAAAGCTGTGCTGAAACTGATGAAAGGAAAGGCATGATACATGTAAAAAACCCAGTCTGTTATATAACTAGAATTCCAGAAAGAGTATATCACTTAAAAACTGATACAGATTTTATGCTTCATAGTTGTGGAGGAACAACCTATAGTGAGCTAGGCAGAAACAGTGTAATGATGCAAAGAAATAGTCCACTTTTAGGTAGCCAGTGTCAGGGTTGTATTGGAAAAAGATTCTGACTCATTGTAATTCAGTGCATCCGTTTCAATGAAATGCAAATGTTAGGGCAGTATTTTCATATGTGTGCTCAGAAAGTTATTTCACGTATCTTCTGAATCATTAATGTAAAATGAAGAACTATAAAAATGGAGAATTAATGATACAAAATGTTTGGCAGTGTGCTGTGAAACCATTTTTAACACTGTAAAATCCAAATATATTTACAAAATAACATAAACTGCAAAAAATACTGATTAGAATTACCAAGAAAGGATATTTTTAGTCTAAAATAGATCATCAAAAATTGGAATGTAGCCAAGGTGATGAGGGCTTATTTTAACTTATACAGAGGAAATTAGTGGTTTAAATTGTTTTTTAAATTGAAAGTAACCATTAGAATAAAAATAGGTGGTTGAATATCTTCTAAGTCATTGAGTGAAGGAGCCATTTGGTATAAAATCTCATATACAGTAAAGGGAAATGATAAGAATGCTCAAGAAGAATAGATAATATAAAATTACATGAGAACAATAACGAAATTCAGATCAATTTAACAAATATTTACTGAATATTCACTAAGTGCCAAGCGTGACTTTGGACACTGGGATAGAATACTAAGTAAAGTTTCTGGTCTCACAGAATTGCATTCAAAGAGGTAGAAAGAAAAGACCACAAAGAAATTAAAAGTACCGACTATGTCCATTGGCAGCACGTACTCTGGTGAAAAATACCAGGAAAGGGCCATAGAAGTGCTCTTACTGGGCAACAAGTAGCCATGCAATTTTAATAAGGTAGATGGGAAACAGCTCAGTGAATAAATAGGTGATATTTGACCAAATGCCTGAACAATGTGAGGGATCAAGCCATGCTGAGAGCATTTCAGACAGAAGAAATAGCAGCTCTGAAACACTGAATTCCATACCTCTATAACTTGTTTGAGGAGTATGAAGGATATTTGGGGCTGCGGATTGAGGAGTATAGCAAGATATTTGGTGCCTTAAGGGCAAGCAGGTGGAACATAAGTTGTACATTGTTTTGGGCAGTGTAACTCCTCATTTTTGGTTTCACTTTCTGCAGTTTCAGATTCCCATGGTCCATTGTGGTAGGAAATTCCAGACATAAATAATTTATAAGTTTTTAAGTTGCGTGTCATTGAGTGTTTTCACAGTGACTCTTAATGCATCATAGAGCTTGTGTTCAAGTGACACTTATTTTACTTAATCATAGCCCCAGTGATCAAAAGTAGTGAAGTTGGCGCAAGCGCAAGGACCTGAGTTCAATCTTTGGTACCAAAAAAAACTACATTACATACAGGGTTTAATATGATCTGTAATTTCATTCATCCACTGGAAGTCTGGAAATGTATACCATACAGAAAAGGCAGAGACCGGTGTACTGGCTTTTTCTGTAGTGTGATAAAAGGTTTTCTGTGTAGGGATGGTAGGTTCAGTCTGATTTTATGTTGTCAGTAGAGTGTGGGTAAGATAAAAGGCAAGGACAGAAGTAAAGAGAGAGTTTCTGATGCTATTGTATTTATCAAAGCAAAATAATTTACCCTGATAGATTGGATCAGGATGATAGCAATCTGAAATGTGACAGTGCTGCAAGAAATCATGTTTTTGAAAGCCAGTCATAGGAAAATGTATGTAAGTGGTAAAAGGTAGGATATAAAATTGTTCTATATGATTACAAATTGAAGAACATTATCTTTATAGTTATAAACATTTACACTTCAGAGTAGAAAAATTTAAATGTTTATTTTGTTAATTATGCTTTTATTTTCTAACTTTTCTATAATTGGGAGAAAGCTAAAACTTGTTAAATATTTTTCCTTCATAGAACAAAGAAATGAAGAAGAAGACTTCAGATACAAAGAAATTATCTACAGCTGCTTTAAAGTGCGTGATTCTGTGATTTCATTTTAATTTTAACTGTTTTGGTAGGGGAGTATGATAGTTGCATAGTTGTAACCTCAGCTACTTGGGAGGCTAAGGCGGGACAAATTTGAGGTCAGTCCAGCAACTCAGTGAGACCCTATCTCAAAAGTTAAAAAATGAAAATTAAAAAAGGAGTGGCTGAAAGTGTAACTCAGTGTAAAGCTCTAGGTTTAGTCTCAGTACTTTTTTTTTTTTTTTTTTGGTACTGGGGATCGAACTCGGGTCCTTATGCTTGTGAGGCAAGTGGCAGAACCACTGAGCTAAATCCCTGGCCCTAGTCTCAGTACTGTAAAATAAAAACAAAATCCAAAAAACTACATTTTTAATCATAATTATAATTTAAATTGGACATTGTTCCAATTGAATTTTTAAACTTAACACATTGAAACACTGCATTTTTAGAATCTTTATAGAGCCTAGAATTTCTAAGTTAATGCCAGTTTTTTCTTCTTTTAAGCAGAAAAGATACAGATGCTTCAAAAACTGTTGAAACTGTTACTTCAACTTCTACTGGTAAGTTGTCTTTTAGTACTCCTCCAAAATGAGTATATTTTGTCAGTTTACTAAAAAGTTCTTGCAAGATGGTGCTAGGAAGACAGACATTATTGTGCTTTAATGAAAGAGACTCAAATTGCATTTTTAAATTGTATTAAGCAAGTAGTTAATATTTAATACTATGTAATTACAGAATTTCTCTGGAATAAATACTATATAAGGACACTATGAGAGAATGTACATAAAATGCCCTTTCTTTGGTATCGGGGAATCGAACTCAGGACCTTGTGCTTGCAAGGCAGGCACCGGAACCACTGAGCTAATTCCCCGCCCCCCATAAAATGCCTATTGTAGTTCCATAGTTAGTAGCTGTTTTTTCTGTGTTTAGTTTTATAATACTTCCCTCCATCTATTCCCAGTAAACTCACAAGACAAAACAAAGAAAGGCATTATTACTTGTCTTGTCCCTGTGATTTTGAAAGTAAGCAGTGAACAGAATATGTATTACCATGTTTGTGTGCTAAAAGTTGTTTTTTAATACTCAGGAAGATACTCCAGGTCTTTATTTTGAATTTTGTATATAGCTAAATGAGTTTTTTATACAGCTAAATGAATTTTGTATACAGTTTTTATGAACTGTTTATATGTTTGGTAACAGGGATCAAACTCAAGACCTTGGAGTTGTGAGGCAGGGGTGATGCCACTGAGCTAAATTCCTGGCCTCAGGTTTTTGTTTGTTTGTTTTGTTTTTTCTCAGTCCATTTAGAATTAGAAAGGTAGAGAGAAAAGTTGCTGCCAGAACACACTCTCTTGAATGAAGCTAAGAATAGACACCTTAATAATGAAGACAAGGCAGGAAATCTGAAATACAACAAACATAAGATATATTCAGAAAGTTAAATTTTGTTTTGTATGTGCTGTTTTGGATAGTAGATATATAATGTATTTTGGATTTCTGTTTAGGATCGTAAGTTGAGGTACTAAAACTGCTAATCAAGTGCCTGTAAATTGGATTGTATGAAATGTCTCCTTTTCCCAATAATGTTTAGTTGTCTAGAGTATTGGAAATTAGTAGGGAATTAAGGATGATTTCTGAAAGGCAGTAATTTTAACTAAGATTTTCAGTTAGATATGTGAATAGTTAATTTATAGAGACAATAGGGGAAATGGCATAAAAATGATAATAACATCGAATAATCATTCTATAAAGATGTATAGGGGCTACAGTGGTGAGTTTTGTATTTTTAACTTCACAAATAGCATTTCCCAAAGTGTATTGTGTGACAGACTGATTGATTCTTGGAAGATATTTTGGGTCAGATAAAATTTGAGGTATGGGGCCGGGGATTTAGCTCAGTGGTTTCGCCACCTGCTACACAAGCGCAAGGACCCAAGTTCAATCCCCGGTACCAAAAAAAAATTTTGAGGTATGTGCTATGTCTCCTTTTTGTTTTTTCCTATTAAAAATTCATAAAATGCATCTTATGAAATCCCATGGAGGGGACCATTACAATTTGCTTCCTCCACTATTACCTAAGCTTGGCTAAGATATACTACATTCTTACTGTAAAATTGGGAAATACTGGTACAGACCCTGGGTAAAATAGCCATCAAGAATAAAGAATCATTCGCAGTTGTTTAGGAGTCCCATATAGAATGGATAAATAGATTGAAAAGTCCTATTGAGAAAATATAATTGGGATTCATTTTGTAGAATTTAGTGGATAGAAAAGATTTAAAAATTAAAGAATTTTAAAATTTCAAAGTTTCCAGCTGGATGGATTTTCTCAGAAATGGTAATAACAGTTATTGAAAAACTTAAGACACTGGAGGTTTCAGGCGGGAATAGGAAAAACCATGAACTTAGATTTCAGTAGCCAAATTTCAGCTTTCAGAGAATATCTACTGGAGATATTTTTATTCATCTAGTCAGATGGCATTGAAAATGGGATGTAGTTGTCTGGGAAATTTTTTAAGTTTAACATCTAAATTTTTGAAATGTTTCTAAAATAATAAAAGTAATGAGTATATAGAGAAATGCTTTAAGCACATACTTCTTTCATTGCAAGTATAGAAAGAGGAACCTTTTATTGACCAAGAAAAGTCAGGCGTGATATCTTTTTGAGATTAGCTATGTCAGATTGAAGAGTGATAGAAAATATTAATTAAAGACAGTTTTGATTATAAGCATGAATAAAAAAGATGGAACACAGAGAGGAAGCAAAAGGATAATTTGATTATAAAGGGAAACTTCAGAAATCTTAACCAGTAATAATTTAAAAGAAATAAGTTGAGTGTGGTAGTGCACTGTCTGTAATCCCAGAACTCCGGAGGGAGGGTAAGGCAGGAGGTTCATGAATTCAAGGCCAGCCTGAGCTACATAGCCAGTTCAAGGCCAGTTCATTTGTTGAGTGGCTCCAATGTGCCTATGACAGGAGGCACTTTCTAGAGACTTTAATAATAATCATTGGCCAGGGATTTAGTTTAGTGGCACCGCACCTGCCTCACAAGTGCAAGGTCCTGAGTTTGATTCCCCGTACCAAAATAATAACAATCATTAAACAATATGTTTAGAAAATGAAAGATGCTGTGTCAAAAAGAAATAAACTAGGGTAAAGGTGATCCAGGATGAGTTGATTTGGAGTTAGCATTTAGAGTATAGAACAAGATAATTATGATGGTAACGTTAAAATTTATTGTGGGGTGTAAGACAATGAGTTTTAAGTAAAGTGTTCTACTAACATAATCAGTTCTGGAAGATATAAAACGGAAAGAAATTTAAGGGAGGCATACAGTGTGTTAACTCATTTAATCTTTTAAACTACGTGTGAGTGAATAGGTTTTTCTCGGTTTTTTTAAATGCACAGATTCAGAGTTTGTATGATTTACTGAGGATCATATGGAAGAGTAATGATTCAAACTCAAAACTATATGATTTCTAAGTGTTTACCTATATTAACTGCTTCTATGAAAATTTCTTAATCTCCTTTGATTTCTGCTCTTTTTTTTTGGTACCGGGGATCGAACTCTGGTCCTTGTACTTGCGCAGCAGGTGGTGAAACCACCGAGCTAAATCCCCGGCCCAATTGCTGCTCTTTTTAAAAAAATTTCTATCAGTTTCCTTAAAAGTTTATTCATCTTTTTGTGTCATGCTTTCCTTTCTGGGTGATTTTTTTCCCTTTCCATGTTTTTAAGGACCAATGAAAATCCCTCTTACATATACGTAAACCTCTCTTTCCTCACAAAATTTCTCTCATTCTCGTGTCATTTAATAGTCACGACTACTCATCCAATGTAGAAATCAATGAGTAAACTTTAATCCTGTGTTCTTTTCTTTGATCTCACCCAGTTCAAACTTAAATAACATCATTCGTCTTTCATCTAGTCAGAGGCTGATTCATATTAGTTCTTCCTTGAATCTACTTCAACTCTCAAATTCTTTCTCCTTTGTCCATCACACCTATAACTTTTTAAATTCTGACCACCATCTTCTCACATTTACACTTTTGAACATAGCTGACTGGTGTTTTTATTTCATTCTCTGCTCCACTATTCACACTATTACCCTGAGGTCTCTAAAACAGATCTCATCATTCCAAGTGACCCATAGAATAAAGCCCAGATTCTTCACCTTTATACAAATTACCTTTTGCCCCCATATTACTTTTTCTGCCTCTGGACACTGAACTACATATTACATTTCAGCCACTCAAAGTAGCTTATTTTGCAGGTATGTCATGCTGTTTCATCCCTTCTTTATTTATGTTGTACATTTGTGTGGCATCATTATCTGATTTCTAGAGAACTTTGTGTAGTCAATGCCTACTTAATAGGTCTAGGCAAGGTACTTAAAATAAAAAGTAAATTAACACTTCTTTTGCGGGTGGAAGTGGGGCAAATCCTAATTCATCCTTCTTCACGATACCTTCCCTGACTCTCCTGAGTAGTTAGATGTTCCCAGCTGTCTTTTAATAATACTTTGAATCATTTAATATTAATAGTTTTTTAATAAGTCTACCTCTCTTACTTGGGTGGTGTGGGAACACTTGGGGTTTTTTTGTTTTTTTCTCTTTTCCTTTAATGTCTCCTGTACTGCAAGGGTTTAATAAATATTTGCGAGAGGAAATGTACAGGTATATTCAAACCCAATCTGTTCTGTATTAATGCTGTAATTGAATCCATGGAAAAACACCTACTGCACAAAGTCTTCTGGTTTGTCATTCTTGATTTAACGATGTTAGTTGTTAAGCTTTTATGACTTTCTCGTATTTAAAAAAAAAACAGTGCAGTGCCTATTTTTGTCTTTTCAATTCCTAGATGAGAATTACTTTCTTTTAAATCTAATTATAGAAGTAATAAATGCTTATTGTTAAAAGTTAATCTATTACAGAAAAAGATTCAAGCTAGGCATGGTACCATGTGCCTGTAATCTTAGCACTCAGGAGGCTGAGCCAGGAGGCTTTGCTGTGAGTTCAAGGCCACCCTGGGCTGCATAGTGAGTTCAAATTCAGCCTGCAGTACAAAGCAAGACCCTGTCTCAAAAAAAAAAAAAAAAAAGAAAGTGACTAACGCTATCCACAGATAATATATTTTTAAGTCAATTTTTCACCAATAAAAGCACTCTGCAAAAAATAATTCTCACATGTGAACTCCACCAGATCTTTAAGGAAGCATAATTCCAGTTCTGTAATGTTCAGAGAAAAAGAAAGCTTCCTTTAAAAAGTGGAATTGTAGCTGGGCAATTTAGTGGCTTAGTAAGACCCTGTCTCAAAATGAAAAATAAAAATGAAAGGACTGAGGGTGTTGTTTAATCCTCAGTGGGACTGGGGTGGGGGGTGTTGGGAGAGGAACCCAGAAAACTACAGGCATTACAAAAAAACTATGCTCAGCAAAATATTTTACCAATAAAATATATTGGTAAAGTTAAATGGGTGTTGAGGATGTGGGAAAACTCAATTGCTGGTAGGAATGTAAAATTCTGTAGTCATTTTGGAAGAGTATGAGAGTTTCTTAATGGAACTGAAAATGTTGCTACCACGTGGCACAGCAGTTGTACTCTTGGACATTTATTCCAGGGAAATGAAGACTTTGTTTACACAAGCTGTATACAAATATCTGTAGCCACTTTATTTAAAATAGTCAAAAACTTGTTACGATTCTTATTGAAACAACCCAAATGGCCTTCAGTGGATAAATGTTAAACTGTGGTATATCCATAGTCTAGTCTAGTACAGTGATGGAAAACCTTTTAGACACATGCCATAGGTTTGCCACTACTGTCCTAGAATATTAGACAAAGGGATGCAGGGGGAGAGGAACATGTAGCAACTAAGATATGTTACAGGTGAATTATGCTGAGTAGGAAAAAAATTAAAGTTTTATTTCATTTATATCACATTGTTGAAATAATGAAGTTACAGAGATAGAGAACAGATCAGTGGTTCTCAGGAGTTAGGGGAGGGAAGGAGGTAGTTGTTGCTGTGAATGGGTTGTAGGACACATCTTTGTGAGGGAAATGTTCTGTATCCTGACAGATGGTAATCACACTAGTCGACATGTATGATAACTTCATAGGACTAAATACCAGTTGATAATTGCATGTAAAACTAGTGATGTTTGAATATTGGTAGATTGTATCAATGTCTTTTTCCTGTGATATTGTACTATAATTATGTAAATATTACCATTAGAGGCAAATTGAATGAAGGGTGTTAACATGAGATCTCTCCATGTAAGTCCATGTGAATTTACAATTACTAAGTTAATTATTAAAGATTAAAAATTTTTTACATGCTGATAACACTCAAAGTTACAGAACAATTTCACTTAGAAATGATGATGTACAATTGTGAAGTATTAGTATATAGTTCCTGAGAGTACCTTAAGGGAATGATATACTATGTATGAGAGAGTGATACTGGAAGTGTGAAGATAATTCAAAATGAGGAAATCTGTTAATTCAACTTACCACATGAAAAATTGAAAGAACATATGATCCTTTCCCTGAGTACTAAAAAAAAAAGAATATTTGGTAAAATTCAGTGTCCATTTCTAGCATTCAACAAAAATAACTACCTACTTCTTTAAATATGATAGGATATTTATGTATATGTACTTTTACTTACATGTGCACATACATACAAAAATACATGTAGTCAAGACAAGCCAGAAGATGTTTGAGTGAAACAGTAGATATATTACCATGAATGTTGGGAACTAAGCAAGTAATATTTATCAACCAGGTTGATAACAAATTTTTAAAAATTTGATGTAAAAAATTTATTATAGTGAAGGACATGGTGTTATTAATCTCCTTCACTCCCCTTCACTTTAAACACAGCATAAATATTTTTTTCTAAAAGGTAGCCACTAGTCATTTCTCTACAAGAGGCACGAAAATTGAAAAAGACACATTATTATTTAAAAGTACGTGGGCCAGGGATTTAGCTCAGTGGTTCAGGCACCTGCCTTGCAAGCGCAAGGTCCCGAGTTCGATTGCCGATACCAAAAAATAAAATGAAATAAAATAAAATAAAAGTACTTATATAATGGAAAAATGCAATAAAATCAATTAAAATGATATTAAATGTAATTATTGTTAACCATCTTACTTAATTTTCTAGTCAGCTTGGTTGCTTTATTATATGTAAATAGCTACTAATGTAGTCTAATAAAATACTCCATTTACAGTAATAAAAATGGTAAAAGTATTTTTAAAACCTTCAAAAGTGTATCACATAGCTAAAACATTTAAAATATTTTATATAGTTGCATAAATAGACAAAAGATCATTAGGGTAGAAGAGAGTCCAGAAATCTTCCCCAAAATATGTGGAACATCGATAAATCACAATGTTAATATTTCACATTAGTGGCAGGAAAATTCAGTTATTCATTCATTAACCACATTTTTACTTTCAGTAAAACATTTAACAAAATAAATTATGAATGGATCAAAGATTTAATTTAGTTATGTGGGCTGGTAAAGGTATTTTCAAAATATGGACAGTATGTATTTTTTTCAATTTTAGTGTGAAGAATTGCTTTTCAAACAGGAAGAAATTTGATTACATAAAAATATTTTTGCATAAGCACTTGCACAGTTATTTTAAATATCATTCTCTGTGTGATGTAGGCAAATTTGTTAATATGTAAAGGAGATCTAATAAATAAGAAAAATGTCAACAGCCCAGAAGAAAAATTGCATAGTATCAATAGGCAGATTACAGAGAAATATAGAGATGACTTAAAAATGTGAGAACTGATACACCTTCAGTCATAACTAAAGAAATAAAAGTAAATCACATTGATGTCCACCTCACATTGGAAAGATTTAACTTCTTATTTGAAGTTAGACTTACGACATAAAATAATGTGTTTATGTGGAGATGGATAAAGCCCTCACTCTTTTTTTTTGTTTTTTTTAACCGGAGATCAAACTCAGGACCTTGGGCTTGCGAGGCAGGTGCAGCGCCACTGAGCTAAATCCTTGGCCCCCGCACTCTCATTTATTATTAAAAGAAATATTAATTGGCACAACCTCTCTGGAAGAGAGTTGAATATTGTTAAATTTTAAATATGTGACTTTTTTTGGTACTGGGGATCGAACTCAGGACCTCGCGCTTGTGAGGCAGGCGCCATGCCACTGAGCTAAATCCCCCGCCCTTAAATGTGTGGCTTTTAACACAGCAAGTTCATGTCTTAAGGATTTACCCCAGTAACAATTCTTTGAACATACAAAGGTGACTATAGGGATGTTTCTTGCAGTGTTGTACCAATAATATTGTCCGGTTAGTCTGTACCCAAATCTAAATTATATTATTTGTAATATGTTATTGAAATAGTTTCCTTTTTATTTTAGCCAAAGCTGGACAAGCCAAGACATCCACAGCCAAAGTAAATAAATCTGCAGGTATGTTTTTTTGTTTGGGGTTTTTTTCGGGGGGGGGGGTGGTTTGGTTTGGTGGGGGGTTTTTTTGTTTTTTGTGGTTTTGGGAATTGAACCAAGGGTCTCGTACATGCTAGGCAGTTACTTTACCACTGAACTATATTCCCAGTCCTGCACATTTGTTTTTGATTAGAATTCTAGACATATTAGCTAACTTTAAAGGACTATATACCTTAGCTGGCTGTGGTGGTGCATGCCTGTACCGTAGCATAGTAGAGGCCAAGGAAGGAAAATCATGAGTTCAAGGTCCACCTCAGCTGCATAGCAAAGACCTTGTCTCAAAAAATACATACACACACACACACACACAAAGAATATAGCAACAGTGTTGGATTTCATATGATATAGTACGAAAATGTCCAGCAGTCTTTGAAAGTCATCCAACAGTTTTGAGAAATGAGATTTAATAGATTAATAACTCTTTGCTTAGTTATCAAAGTAAAATAATTTAACTGGAGAAGATATTTCTTTCCTTTACTTCCCTTTCTTTTACAGAATAATATGCGTAACAACCAGACATGATCTTTTTGCAATTTGTATAAACTAGTGGGTTTCAAAGTATTCTTGTTACTCTAGCATAATCTTCCTCTCTCCTTCCCCTCTCATGTCTGCTAAATGCAGGTTAATTCAAGGTCATCTCTTTAAGTGGGCAGAGACTATTGTATTAAGTTGCCTTCTCTAAAATGTTAAAAACAAAAGGAAGCTGACTTGGATTGGGAAATAAATGTTGTAACACTGTTAAAAACAGATCCAGAATTTCCTTCCTCAAAGTTTCTTGAAAGTACTCATCTGGCAGGGTCTTCCTTCGATTGCTAGGAAGCTTGTCTTTATTTAATAAGTACTTTGTTAGCGTATTAAGAGTCATTAATGGATATTTGATTTAATGTTAGGATTTAATGCTGGCTATTTTTCCTTAAGTTCTAATACTCAAATAGAAGTAGTAAAGTGAATTGACTTGGGCTAATAATAAGGATAGTAAAAGAAATACCTTGTAGGCTTACTAAGTCTAAGTTTACTGCATGGTAGTAAAACTTATGAGTTATTTAGATAGACCACTTGAGTCACCATGCATGAGGATTGATACTGTAGTTCCCCCTTACCCACAGGAATACATTCCAAGACCCACTGTAGATGGTTGAAATCCTATATATTCTATTTTTTTCATTGTTTTAATTTATAAATTAGTTATAGTAAGAGATTAGCAATAATAATAAAATGTTAAGTGAATATGGTCTTTACATACAGAGTTGCCACCTTCACTACTATTGCTCTTTGGGGCCATAATTAGTAAAATAAGGGCTACTTACTTGAACACAAGCACTGCTATACATCGAGTCAATAGGATAACAGAGACCACTGTTAAGTGACTGATGGACAGGTAACATATACAGCATGGATATGCTGGACAAAGGAACTTTCACATCCCAGGCAGGATGAAACAGGACAGCTGGAGATTTCAGCATACTATTCAAAGCGACACACAATTTAAAACTTACAGATTGTTTATATCTGGAATTTTCTGCTTACTATTTTGGGTTTGTGAGTAACTGAAACTATGGAAAGCAGAACTGTAGATAAGAGGAGGGCTCCTGTATTGCTCTTTCTGAACAAAGGTCATTGCCCTTTCCGAACAAATGTTATAGTCTGTCTTGAAATATAAAGAGTGGATTTGTAGACTTTTGTTGTTGTGGGTGTCAGTGATTCTTGTGTGTGTGCACATGCGTGCATATATACATGATTTAATTTTGAAGGGTATGATCATATTCTTAGTTTCTTTTAGGTAGTTGTGGCAGTTATCATCCTATTTATATATATGGGAGAGTGTCCACAGAAATCAGTTATTATCACAAAGTTTTAATTGGAATTTAATTTAGATCTGTTGATTCTGATTCTGGGCTTTTTCCTCATACTTTCTTGCTAGTTGTTATGAATCCTGATTTTTTCAGAGCTGAATCTGTTGGTCTTAGAATAAAAAGGGTTTTTGGTCTCTGATGATCTCTTACTTTGATGACCATAGTCTTTATAAATAGCATTATCATGGAAAATCAACAGTAATAGGTGAGAATGTAAGAACAATGGCCAGAACAATTTAGTCTTAAACAGCTAGGATACACTAGGAATGAGTCAAAGCAGTCTTTATGTTACCTTCAGGTGTTGAATGCTTTTTAATCAACTGGGAGCCAAGCTGCTTTTGGAACTCTTAAAAGCATGAGGTTAGGGATTGTTTTTATATCCTTGGAATTAGTAACTTTGCTTCTGATTGATCCATATACATTCAGAGATTCATTTAACTTACCTGAATGCTATTTTCCAGTGCCCTGGCAAAGACATGAATTGTTATTTAGGTGACTTTTAAAAAATAACCTGTGTTTCTGAAGGTGATAACATTTTGTTTTAAATAAAATGTAGCCTTTTGTTATTGAAATATTTCTCTGTAAAGTTCTTTGGAGACTGTCAACTAGTTAAACCAGTTTTGACTGCTGCTTTTGTGATTTAGGAAAATCAGCAGGCTCTGTAAAATCTGTGGTCACAGTAGCTGCTAAAGGTAAAGCTGTCAAAACAGGTAAGAATATTAGAGAAAAAAGGTTTTACTAAGTTTAATTTTAATTCTGTCTTTAAAAATATAAATATAATACCAAAAGCAGGTTTTGAATTCATAGGATAATTTTTAATGTCTAGTAACATCTTGACTATTTTAGTAGATATGTCTTTGATATTTAAAACCTGGCCCATATAGGACTTTTATTCATTGATACTTCCATCTTTGACAGTATTTGCCATTAAATATATATTTTTGTTCAGGTATATAAGTCATGGCTTATAGTTTTTGGACAGATACATAATCACAGGTTGCTCTTTCATTCTATCTTATAAGTGGTTTAATCTTTCTGTTGCTTCATATTACCTTTCTTAGCATGTACAGTTTCTCTGCTGTTTACTTTTGTTCATAGATCTGCTAATCCTTCACCACTGGCTTGGCTAAGTATCTTTAAGATGTGGTATTTGGGTCACAAGTTTTGAACAGGCCATTACTTTTAAAAAATTTTTTTGGTACTGGGATCTGACTCAGGACCTTGTGCTTGCAAGGCAGGTGGTGCAACCACTGAGCTAAATCCCCAGCCCCTCTGCTGTTTACTTTTAAAAAGATTGTTTCTTTCCACATTAGGAAAATTAATATTCTCTATTTTTAAAAAATGGAACACTATTTAAAATAATCTAGCACATTGAAACAAGCAAAATCTTATTAGTATCATCTTTTTTAATAGACTGATTTCAAAGAATATTTCCAGCAATTAGAAGTATCACTTTTTGATTTTGTAATTATATATATCTACCCCACACAGGTGTAACTTTTTATTCACTTAAGGACATCAGCAAAATATATCTCAACTTAAATTTGCTTTTAATATTATTGACAAGCAGATGTTGGAAATGAATAGCAGTAATACATGGAAAGAACAGCTTTTATAAATTGAACAGCTTTCATTAGCATGAAACATGCTAAGTGACTCAGCTCAGCATACTTTTAGAATAATAGTTCAATTCTCCTTTTAAAAGCTAAGTCAACTGGAAAGAAGTCTCTAGAGTCCAAAAAGGTCGGGAATGTCAAAAACAAAGACTCCAGTAAACCTGTAACTCTACCAGGTAAGCTTGAAGTGGTATCAGTGTTTTATTTAGGTTCTTTTGGTATATATTCAAGGTATATTTTGAAATTTTCCTTAAAAATTCTCGAGATTGTTTTGTTTTTTTCAAAGAGAAATTTATGTATTAGATTTGACTTAAGCCATATCATCTTTTTTTTTTTTTTGGTACTGGGCATTGAACTCAGATCCTTGCTCTTGCGCAGCAGTTGGCGAAACCACTGAGCTAAATTCCCAGCCCAGTCATATCATCTTAAGGCTACCTGAAATAAACTAGTTTAAAATAAGTTCCTGTTTAGATTTATTAATCGTATTAGTGTCTTTTATAGACTATTAAAGCATACTATTTTATGCAGCAAACTCTGAAATAAAGACCAGTTTGGAAGTTCAAGCCTCTGAAAACAGTGCTAAAGAAACCATTTCAGGTAGGCCAATAGAAATTTCATTTTATTCTCTTAAGGGTAGAAAGAAAATTAAAATTTTAATAAAAGAGGTAATTTTGTATCATTTGTATGTATGTACTTTTTAAATATGTTTCATTCCTAAGTCATATCAATATTTTGATTCAGATCTTCATCCCTCAAATATTCTGAAATTTTGCGCTCAGAATAAAACTATTACTTAAAAGCCAGTGTCAAGCTTGGGTATAGCTCAGGGATGGAGTCCTTGCCAAGCATGTATGAGGCCCTGGGTTTGATTCCCGGCACTGCAAAAAAGAAAAAAAAGCCAGTGTTATTTCCTACTGTAGACAGGGTCTCGCTCTGTATTTCAGGCTGGCCTCAAATTCGTAGCAATTCTCCTGCCTCAGCCTCCCAAGTGCTGGGATTACAGGAATGTGCCACCATGCCTGGTTTAGTTATGTACATTTTTTTATAGCTACTATTTAATTCATTTTAGAATAAAATATAATCTTGGTAAATATATGTGCATGATTTTAAATTAACAATAATTAACTAATATTATTTGTTTATTTTGGTATTTAGAAGCTGCTTTGGAGGTCACAGAAAATGAATCAGTCAGCAAGGTCAGTTTTTATGTTTTATTAATTTCTTTAAGGCTTAAAATTTTTTGGCAAAGCATATTTTCTTATCAAACCTACAGTATTTGGCATTTTGTAAAGGTCTCATCATCTGTGGCTCTTTAAATAGGGGTTCAGTTCAAAAATCTTGGACCACAGAAAAAGTCACAAAAATTTAGGACAGGTTAAAAGTACATGTTTCTGAAGAGTATTTTTCCCTGACAACACATTAAGTCTAAATGAGTTCTGGAGCATATAGCAGCTTATCAAATCAAAACCAGTAGAATTTTCGGGAAAAAAACCCTTTTTTTTTTCCTTCTAATGACAGATGGGAGATATATGTTAATATTTAGAATATACTACCTTGGGGGTTTTTTGGGGGAGGGTTCTCATTTTTGGAGGAGTAAATAGGGCTTCCTATTTTATTTTGAAAGACAAATAGTTCACTTTATTTTCTTGTGGTTATATCTGTCATTAAGAATACGTTGTTTTATTTAGATTTTACTGATTCAGATTTTGACATCACTCAGGTGATAAGCATAAGTGTAATTTTTGTCTAATAAATCCATTCCTCAACAAAACCATTAAGTCTTTTATTTTTAGAGAGAGTATTTTGAAGCACAATACAGTAATTAGAGTCCCATAAAGCACTTAAGAAGGAACCATTTATGAACACATCTGACTGACATGCTAGTTAAAATCACTTTCAACTTGTTTATAAAAATTATATCTTCCTACATTTTTCCCCCAAAGGAAAAGTCAAAAATTGCCAGGTTTACTGTATCACATCTTTAGAATTTTTCGTAGAATCCACAAAAGGAAAAAATGATTTGAGAGAGTCATCTTGGAAAATAAAAGATGTAAGAGAAGGGATAGCAGAAAAGAAAATACAGTATGTATTTGAAGTGGGGATTGGGTTGTGGAGTAAGGATTCTGAAGAGATTAGATAAGTTATTTTATGTTCCCTAAAAGTGATTTTTCGTATTAGGGAAGATAAAAAGATACACACTGATTTGGAGATTGAGGATATAATCATCACAAGATAAAGAAATGACAAGAAAGGATTGTAGTGAGAGATAGATGATTGTGTTATTAAGAAAAGTGAAAAACAAATCTACAGACCTGGAATAGGTGACAAGTGGCATGACTGCAATTACTCTATGTATTTGAAAGATAGAAATTTGTGTATTTAAGGGGTATTTATTTTGAGGTTAAGACCAGCCTCCTGAATTGATAAGGGCTTCCTTATTAGTAAATGGAATTTAAGTAATAATATGATACTAAGTATAAGTCTTAAGTGAATACAAACACAGGTAAGGAAATTTTAAAACTGATTTTTAAATTTCTCTTGAAGGAAACAGAGGAAATGTGTGTGATACTTATTTCTAATTTGCCTAATAGAGGATATTCTACAGAAGAAATTTGTAATTTGGCAAAACCATTTGGTGGTTTAAAGGATATTTTGATTTTATCATCTCATAAAAAGGTAAGAATTGATAATAGCTTTCATATTATCTATAAGAGGCACATTTTGAAAAACATTCACAAAATTAGGAAGGATTTAAAAGTGTATCTCAAAGTAATTAAAGTGTTTTAATTAAGCTAATGGATTTTTAAAATTAAAATTCAAATATCATTTATTTTAGTATTGTGCTACTCAGGCTTAGTTTAATGATGAGAAAGAATGACAATATATGTCAGAGCTTTGCTCAAAATTTTAATTTACTAGAAAATGTTTTCTATCTTAAATGTTCAATAGTTTTTAAATGACTTCTAAGATTTTATAATAGATCATTTTTTAGCTAATATTTCTTATTCTTTCTACTGTTTTACCAGTGATACTCAAATGAGTAGTAACCACTTAGACTCAAACGATGTCAGCAAGTTTTGTTCTAAGTTTGCTGTGTGTATTGCTTTTGTAACTTTAAAACCACACAGTAAAATTTGTTATTATAATTATTATTATTACTTTTTTTGGAAACAGGGTCTCACTATGTAGCTCAGGCTGGCCTTGGACTCACTGTGTAGCCCAGGCTGGCCTCAAATTTATGGTGCTCCTCCTGCCTCAGCCTCTTGAGTTCTGGGATTATAGGCATGCATCACCAAGCCTGGCTAAAATTTAGTATTTATAAACAATGTGAGCCAGGCATGGTGGTATGCTCCTATAATCCCTGCACTCCGGAGTCTGAGGCAGGAGGATCACTGTGCGTTTGAGGCTAGCCTCTGCTACATAGTGAGTTCAAGGCCAGCTTGAACTGCATAGTGATACCCTGTTTCAAAAAACAAAAAGTCCATGTGAAATGTATAGGATATGGGATTTTAGTAAAGAAGTATTAGAAATGACACACTAGAGTGGTAAGTATCGTGTGTTGGTGATGACTAGAGATCTATGAAAGTAGAGTAGGATATAATCAGAGCCAGTGTGCTTGAGCAAACAGTGAAAGAGTGAGTAGAAATGAGTTATATGTAGTTTCACATTATGTTAAAACTTGATTGATTGGTTAATACAGCTCTGTAAATATACTTGGAAACTGCTGAACTTAATGACAGTTATATATTTCAGCTGATTTTTAAAAAGTAGATTATGTTTAAAGACACAGGAAGAAGAAGTGCATTTTTAAATTGGGTTTTTTAAGGGCCGGGGATTTAGCTCAGTGGTTTCGCTGCCTGCTGTGCAATTACAAGGACCCACGTTCGATCCCCGGTACCAAAAAAAAAAAATTGGGTTTTTTAATGTGAGAAAATACATTTAGATAGGGTATGGAATGACTTGGGTGTTAAAAACAATAGAAATCATTAATTTTATATTATATACTTAATAGTATATGTATAAATAGATTAAGTATAAAATCTGAATAAGTAAAAATCCTAGATTATTGTCTGCCTAGTATAGGTTAGAATTGAGTGGACTTATTTTTTGGTTCTGAGATTCGAACTCAGGGCTTTGTGCTTGCCAGGCAGGCACTGCACTGCTCAGCTATGTCCCCAGCTCAGGAATGGACTTATTAAATACTTATACTGCTAATATTTTTCTAGATACTAAATAGAAAAATTTGCGATTCAGTTATAGTAGTCTCCTCTTACCCATAGGAATTATGTTCCAAGAACCAAGTAGATGCCTGAAATTGCAGATAGTACTGAACCTTGTATTTACACCGTATTTTTTCTTATACATATGGGCACAAGTTTAATGTGTTTTCCGTTTTAACTAAGCCGGTATCATGCCCTGTGGCCTTAACTTTTGCTTCGTAATTTGTTTTTCCTTCACAGTTTCATGGTTATAAGATTTGTTCTTACTGTAGATCTTGGCAATCTGAGCAAAGTGCATTTCTTTATTATGTAGAAAACTTTAACCTTATCATTTAAACTGCTTTACAGCTTCTCTTTGGCACATACGAAATGCCAGTATCACTACTCTTATACTTTGGAGCCATAACTAAGTAAGGATTTCTGGAACACACACAGTACACTAAACAATTGGTCTGGTAACAGGTGGCTATTAAGTGATTACTAAATAGCATGGGGTAGCATGGGACCTGTGAACAAAGGGATCCTTCACATCCCAAGCAGAATAAAGCAGAACTAGAGACTTAATCACATCTCTCAGAGTGGCATGCAGTTTAAAACTTACGAATTGTTTACTTAAATATTTGTGAAATTAAATATAAAGCAAAATGGAAATTTAAAAGTTGAAAAATATGTAAATTGGGAAACAGTGTCCACATTATATATATGACAACATATTAAAAGTTCAGTAAATTGGCAAACAACATAATTTGTTTAAAAAGTAGACTTAACCAAAAAAGACTTGCAACTATATGCAAATATATAGATTTCTACCATATTATCAAATATATGAAAGAACATTCAACCTGTTTGATTATGTAAGTATGAAAATTCAAAAATACATAGAATTATTGTATGAGAACTTTCATTATATACCTGTGAAAAAAGCAAAATAAAAAATGGACTGTAGGGCACAGATAGCACATAGAATTCTGAATCTTTGCTTTAGACATCCTTAATTCTCTGTATACATATGTAGAGTTACATGTTATATCTATGAAAAAAGCAAAACAAAAATTAACTTGATAATCATTACACATTTTTTGGCTCTTTCATTTCTCGTTTTATCATTAAATTTATTTACTCAGAAATACTCTTAAAATGTCTGCTACATGCTAGGTACTGCTATGATACTAAGAAAGCAGTGAATAAGATGAAACCTTTCTTGGTTGTTTTTTGGGGGTTTTTTCCTCGGTACTGGGAATTGAACTCAGGACCTTGTGCTTGTCAGGCAGGTGCGGCGCCACGGAGCTACATCCCTGACCCTTTCTTAATGTCACTTACTAGAATGTCTTCTGTTTCTTATTTAGTATTTACTCTTTCTCTTTTAGTTATTATGAATAGTCATTCATTATTTCTTATTTATGGTTGTAGTATTCTTCATCTATTGGTCTAACCTTTCTGGGGACACTTTTTTTTTTAATCTTTATTTACTGAGTTAGGGCATCTGACTCTGAAGTATTAAAAAAAGTAAGTCATTTCAAACATGTTTTGTATTTTCAATTTTAAAAGGCATTTATAGAAATAAATAGAAAATCTGCAGAATCTATGGTCAAATTTTATACCTGCTTCCCAATATCCATGGATGGAAATCAACTTTCCATAAGTGTGGCTCCTGAGAACATGAATATAAAAGATGAGGTAAGTCATAGACATGTACCATCATTTTTATTAGATCTTACTAATTTTTTTCAGATTTATTATATTTAATATATATTATAATATTTATTATATATTATATAGATTTATATATTATATATTATATTCTCTTGTTATCTGGTTTTCTTCTTTGGATCATGTTTTTTCTGACACTAAGAAATCTTATCTATCCAATAATCACTTAATCCAAATCCACTGTTTGTGAGTTACTTTCATATTGAGAGAATCCTATCTTAAGTGTGTTGAGTTGGAAAAACATTGAAAACTATCTGAAAATAGACGTCTTCTCATTAATCTTACTTACTGTTTCCCAGCAGGAATACTGAAAATTATCTTTAATTTTTTCCTCATTTCTCATATTTGATCCCTCAATAGATCTATTTTAAGTCTGTGAAATTTATTCCCTCTTCCTAATCCCAAGTACCATTGCTTCATCTCTTAGAAACTGTCAGAGCTGATGTGGTGCATACTTATAATTCCTGCACTGTGGGAGACTGAGGCTAGAGGATTGAAAGTTTGAGCTCAGTCTGAGCAATTAATTTAGTGACCTAGACCCTATCTCAAAATACAAAGGCCCTAGGTTCAGTCCCAGGAGAACACATCACACACACACACACACACACACACACACACGCACGCACGCACGCACGCACGCACACACACGCACGCACACACACACCCACCCACCCAATCCCAGCTCCTCTGGACCACCAAAAATAATTGTTCATTGGCATTTCTGCCTTCAATTTTGTCTCCTTCAAGTCCTTTTTCCACAAAGCCATGAGGCTAATATAAAGTTGAAATCTATTCAGATTCAGCTTCATCTGATGTAAAAACCTTTCCTTGTCTCTTTGTGACCTATAATGACATATTAGTATCTCTAGAGGAAAGTGGAGGTACAGATAATTTGGAAAAGCTTTTCATTGAGAATCACTCTAATTTGTAAAGTTGGATTATTTTATACATGTCAGTTGTATCATTAGTTATCCTTTGCCAGTTTTTAAATTCTTTTCTCATGCTACTTTTGACCTTTTACAATTCAAAAACAACACAAGACTCTATACTTCTACTCTATACAATATTTTATTTGCCTTCATCTTAGTTACTCCTCATCCCTGGCTTTGCTGGGTTAAATTTTATTTGAATTCTCTTTCTCATCTGAATTAAATCTCTTCCTCCTTAAATGTGAATTCAGATGTCCTCCCTAAGTACTACTAACTCATTAATCTTTAATGGATTTATGGGAATAGAGAAAATTAAGTTGTATGGGTAGGGTGAGACTTCAGTAATTTTTCAGGAGGAGGAAAACATTCTTGGAAGGAATAGAAGCTTTTCTGTCTCACTGTATGAATAATATATATACTGAGTAATATATATTTGTAAATATTATTATATAACAAATCTTGACTAAGTAAGCATCTTACACCTTCAACCTTCTATTTTGACTTTTTAGGAAGCTCTGTTTATGACTTTGATTAAAGAAAATGACCCAGAGGTGAGTTTTGAATTAGCATGTTTTTATTTGTTTAATACATAGAACGTTGATTATTTATCTTTGGGAACTAATGAAAACTGAAGTAGTAATTTTAAGATACTGAGGCATTGGAGATGTCAGATGGGTCCTCTTGGTAAAAATAAGAAAAGATTATCCTAGAGTCCTTGACATAAATTTTTTTCTACATTCTGGAGTATATAATTAGTGGCTAAATAGGTTAGTGTCCTGTCTAAGGTTGTTTTGGGTAAACATTTTGATAGAATTATTATTATTATTATTTTGGTACCGGGGATCGAACTTGGGTCCTTCCGCTTGCAGGGCAGGCAACAGAACCACTGAGCTAAATCCCCAGCCCAATTTTTCTTTCTTTTTTTTTTGTACCGGGGATTGAACTTGGGTCCTTTGCACTTGCGAAGCAGGTGGCAGAACCACTGAGCCTAAATCCTCGGCTGATAGTAGAATTATTATATCTCCTATTTTGGTATATTGTTTTATTGATTATGTAATCTGATGTCTAAATTTGAGACCTACTGTTGGGCTGAGGATGTATCACAGTGGTAGAGTATTTACCTGGCATGTACAAGGTTCTGGGTTTTATTTCCAGCACCTTAAAAAAAAAAAGAGTGAGAGAGAGACTTCACCATCTACATCAGCATAGTCATCATCATTTTCTTACTCTTGGGATATCTCATTGGGTTTCCGTAATGTTTAATTATTGTTTGTGTTTTATAGTTTGATGCTACAGCTGTGGTTTTTTTTTTTCCCTATGCTATCTCTTAAAAAATACAGGCAAATACAAATAAAATTTACAACAGATTTGTGCATCTTTATAATTTACCAGAAGATGGACTTCAGTGTGTACTTTGTGTTGGACTTCAGTTTGGAAAAGTAGATCACCATATATTCATGAATAATAAAAACAAGGTAACAAGTTCCTTCCTAATTTAACTGTTCCGTAGACAATACATAACCAAACCCTATATTCTTAAAGTCTGCAACTTTTAATTCAGCTTCTAGATTAAAGCATCTATAAAAGTTAGTTGCTCAGCAGTATTATGATAGATTAGTATATTTTCTGCTGGACAGGGACAAGAAAGAAGACATGATCTCTGGGTTCAGAGCATTTCTCTGTTTTCAGAGTTCTGTTTTTAAGGAAAAACAAGACTCTTCAAAGGAAAAAGGCAATGTGGTATAAAAAGCAGTATCTTACAGGGAAATACAGACCTGAATTCATTTGATTCTGACCTTAACTACCTCTGTAACTTTGGCAAAATAAACACTGATTGATGATGTGAAAGGCATGTTATCACATTTAAAAAGTTCTAGCCACTGGCTGGGGATGTAGCTCCCTGGCTCTATGCCTGCCTGGCAAGCGCAAGGTCCTGAGTTCGATCCCTGGTGGTGGTGGTGGGGGCTATTTAAGTTCTTCTAGCCATAAAATACAGTTAGTTCTGGGGAACGGGGATTTAGCTCAGCAGTACCACGCCTGCCTCACAAGTGCAAAGTCCTGAGTTTGATCCCCGGTAACCACCCCCCCCAAAAAATTAGTTCTGTTTGCTTATTTACATGGAAAGACGTATAAGTAAGATAGTCATTTCATGATTTAGCTTCTCTCTGTGAAAGTAAAAATACAGAATTGTTCTTTTATTTACATTTTATGCCCTTTATTTTTACCATATATTTCAATTGTATGTCTATGAAAATTGGATTTTGTTCAAAAATATATTACTTAGGAAGCAGGGTTTTATATCAAAGTTAACAATGTTTACTTGATAAAAAGTGTGTAAGTAACGAACTAGATACTAATTTTTTGTATGTTCATAACTGATAGAGCATATTTGACATTACAGAAATGATATGAGCAAAGATGAAAGGTAGGAAACAGATAGTATGTAGAATTCTACCTTTGCTTTAAAAACCCTTATTCCCCTATTGGTAAAAATAAATGAAGCCAGGCATGGTGGTATATGCCTATAATCCCAGCACTCAGGAAGGCTGAGGCAAAGAGGATTGCAAGTTTGGGTCCAGCAAGGACAACTTATCAAGACCCTGTCTCAAAAAATAAAAGGAGTTGTGGATGTAGCTCAGTGTAAAGGCCCTGGGTTCAATCATTACTACACAAAACAAAAAAAGTCATCCTTTTCAGATTCGTCTTGACTGTGCAACCTTCTAAGGATTGCTTTCTCTTGTTTATCTTGAAATAAGAATTAACCATATTTTTATAATTCTGTATCTGAAGCCTGAAAGAAAAATATGGAAATTCTTTAAAATTTTAAGAAAAAAATATTGCAGTAAAATATACAAATTTTATCACTTGCAAAATATAAATTTACTTTTTAACCATGTTTAAATATCAGTTCTTTGGTATTAAGCATATTCACATTATGTAGCTATTACCACCATCTATTTCCAGAACTTCTTGCAGCTTCTCAAACTGAAGTGTAATTGCTTGTCCATTAAACAGTAACTCCTCATCCCACCCCCCCATTAACCACAGTTCTGTTTTCTGTTTCTGGTTTTTTTTTTTTTTTTTTTTTTGGCATCCTATATGTGTGGAATTTCATTTGCTCTTTCGTGACTGGCTTATTTCACTTGTGTCTTCCATATTCGTCCATGTTGTAGCATGTGTCAGTTATTTTTGAAACTGAATGGTATTCTATAGTATGCACATACCACATTTTAAAAATCTGCTAATCCACCAATGAGAGTTGGGTTGCTTCTAACTTTTGACTGTTGTAAATAATATTTCTGTGAACATGGAGGTACAAATGTTTGAGTCCCTGTTCTCAGTTCTTTTGTGTATATGCTAAAAAGTAGAATTGTTGGATCACGTAGTAATTTTGCTTCTAATTTTTTTTTTTTTTTTGGTGCCGGGGGATCGAACTCAGATCCTTCCACTTGCGCAGCAGGCGATGAAACCACTGAGCCAAATCCCCGGCCTTTGCTTTTAATCTTTTAAGGAACTGTTCATACTTTTTTTTATATTCTCCAAAGGCAATTCTTCAGTTAGAAAGCCCTGAATCTGCTCAGTCAATGTACAATTTTCTGAAACGACATCCACAAAACATAGGTGACCATGTATTGATCTGCACTTTATCTTCAAAGATAGATTCATCAGAGGTAAGATACATTTTTGGATTAGCTTTTATTCTTTTATAAATGTAAAAGAAGTGTAAAGGTCATTTTTCCAAAACTTAAAAGTATTGGGCTGGGGATTTAGCTCAGTGGTTTCGCCGCCTGCTGTGCAAGCGCAAGAACCCGAGTTCTATCCCTGGTACCAAAAAAAAAAACCCCAAAAAAAACAAAACTCAAAAGTATATTCTCAATGTAATGTCAAGAGTTATTCTCAGGTAGTAATTTGGTTTTGAGTTTTAGGCGTTCTTTTTAAAATCTGCTTTTAAAAATTTGCAGTTTCAGGATTGGGGATTTAGCTCAGTGGTTCTGCCACCTGCCCCGCAAGTGCAAGGACCCGAGTTTGATTCCCAGTACCAAAAAAAAAAAAAAAAAAAAAAAGATTTGCAGTTTTTATGGTTTATGCAGTGGTGTAAATTTGTCCAAATGAGAATAAATTAAGGTAATTTTGAAAAACATGTATTCTGGTACGTATGTGTGGAGTGACTCCTTATATGTTTCATAATTGTCTGTAGAATGCAAAGGTTGCTTAGAATTTATTATTGCTTTCTCCTGGGAGAAAGAAGTTTCTTGATTTTTAATTATATTTATGAGAAATTGTTCTATAAGGAATCAAGATTTTATAGGCTTTTGGTTTGGATAATAGTGCATAGCAATACATGTACAAAAGCTTATGAAGAGTCCATCAGTGAAAAAATTAAATTGAAACTCAAATTTTTTCTTCTAATAATTCTATAGTATGCTAATAGGCAAATAATAGGGCTTTTTTTGCTAGCAGTAGCAATATATTTTTTATTAATCTTCACAAAATCTTGTACTAGCTAAAAAAAACCAATTCTATCATCTAAACTCAAAGTACCTACTAAGTATATATATATTATATACTTCATATATATATATATATATATATATATATGAAATGTCAAGTGGTAAAAAGTGATGTGAAGACAAATTAAGATATAAAGATATGGGAGTGACAGATTGGGGGGATGTATATATTAACCCATTTATTCTGAAGGTTACAATTTTTAAAACTTTTGCATGACATTTGTATGTTACCTAGAAAAAGTCAAAGAACAAGAATTTGAAGAGAAAAATTTGTGTAATGTTCCAGTGTTATGTGCTATTCTATAAATGGAACACAAGGCATGAAAGCATTAATAGTCAATATAACACCTCTTGGAAAGAGTTGCAAGTCTTGAAGTAAGAGATCAAGCTCTATGAATATGACAGAGAGGCTTTTAGATGGATGATCAAAGGCCTTAGAGACATATTTGGGGTTTCAAGAACTTTTGAGCATCAGTATGCCTAGTTCAGTGAGCAAAGTTTTTGTCTTTGTTTGGGACTCATTTTTACTTTTTTTTTGGTACCAGAGATCGAACTCAGGACCTTGCGCTTGCGATGCAGGCAGCGGAACCACTGAGCTAAATCCCTGGCCCTCATTTTTACATTTTGCTTGGTTAGAGCTGTCAATTTTTTTTTTTTAATCTGAAGATTAGTGTTTCTTCACCTGAGGAAAGTTACTCTATTTCTTTATTTCTTCAACTTTTAATGTCCTATTTTTTTAGAAATAAAACCTTTACTGATTTTGTAGATGCTTTATTTTATTGAATTTTCCTGAGGATATTTGTTAGTTACTTTGTTTTCTTAGAGCTCTGCTGTTGTCTGAAATACCTTTCTTCAATTAGTTTTGTATGCTGATCTTCATAACACTCCTATGCATTTTTCTCTTTTATTTTCTTATGAATTAGGAAGCAAGTAGCTAATATTAGGTGCCTGTTGCAGATTTTCTTCACTGTTTTATAGGATTTTTTTTTTCCTCTACAGGCCTCTCCACTGATTGGAAAGACTATAAGTAATATCTGTGGAATGGGGCTTAACAGTTATTGTCTTTAATTTCTGCTATACCATTAGGATGTATCTTTCCATTAGATACTCTAATAAAGAAGACCTTTACTCTGGCACTCTTAACATCTGCACTAGGAATCCTTTCTAGGCGCATTATTTAATTTCTTTAAAGTACTCTTCTGTTTTAAGTCTGAAGAAGCTTTTTCTAAAACGACAGTTTCAGCAGAGAGAATACATGATTTCCACAGAAAAGGGCTGTGTAGGAAACTTTTTAGTCTTCATTATAAGTAAAAAACTTTAAAAATATTTCCATAAGGAATGTGCCGATATTTCAGGTTAATCGGTTTTATTCTGAACAAAAGATAATATTCCAAGCTTTTAAAAAAGTTTCGTTTATATCAACATTAAGGAAACTTATTTTTATCATTAACTGCTCTATATGAATTATTTTGTATAACAGTGATCTTTAATGAGAAAAATATTTGATAGTGATATGGACGCTGAAGCTAAGTGCTTCCTTATATTTTTACAGTGTATTTTTTTGTTTTAGTTTATATTTTAACTGAAAACATTGGATTGATGAGTCAAATATTTAAAACTTCTAATAGCTTCTAATAACTTCATTAGAATAACTTCTAATGTGGATTGTATTACAGGTTCAAACTGAGAAAGAACCAGAATTAAAAGAAAGGTATGTTGCTTTAAGTTTGCTGACATTTTTGTGTAGTTTTTAAATGACTGAATTTTATTCTGTATTTTACAGTAATTATTCTTATGTAGCAAATGGTTCCTCACATATTCATTTTATGTGTATACAAGTTTTTGACTTTTGGAGAAGGTTCTGTTTTGCCTAGGGGTTTTATGTTTTTCAGTTATTTACTATTTGGAAAACTGTATAAACACAGTTTGAATTAAATACACCAATATTTCTTTATAAAATGTTTTGTAGAGACTCTTGAACAATTCACTTCAGTTCCATAATCAGTATTAAATACTTTTTATTATATTTTTCTATTCCAAAATAGTGAAATTTTAATGTAAAATTTTTATTAGATTAAATAAAAATATAATTCTGAGTGTATATTTTGGTATATTTTAAAACAGCAAGGGTGGGCTGGGGATTTAGCTCAGTGGTTCTGCCGCCTGCCTTGCAAGCACAAGGTCCTGAGTTTGATCCCTGGTACCAAAAACAAAACAAAACAAAACAAAACAAAACAAAACAGCAAGGGAGAGAAGAAGCCATAATTGTCAAGAAAAAATACATTTTATATTTTTAGGGGATTATTTTTCTTTTTTTTTTAATACCGGGAATCAAACTTGGGACCTTGTGCGTGTAAGGCAGGCATGGTACCACTGCATTAAATCCCCAGCCCTAGGGAATGAAATCATGTTTTTCAGAGTGTATATAAACTAGTGACTCAGAAACTTATTTTGAGCAAATGTGATACACTCTTTCCTTAGTAATTGTCATGCTGATGGATGTCCTTTTGTTGCCACCCTCTTTGTGTACCATTTAATAACCTGCCTTTCACTGTTTTTACTGAGAATTGATTGAGAATATTTCCTTTCCCTCCTATATATAATTGATTACTGATATTTGTTAGTTCATGTTTTAAGAGCCTATAAAGTTGAAGCAACAGTTTGTGTTTAGATATAGAAAGTGTTCATTTCATTTGATGTACTAGTTTTAAAAACAGAATGTTATTTAAGTTTTTTTTCTATTGTTACAGACTTAGCCTGTTCTGGGTGATAAAGATGACTTTAAGTACATTAATATTGACAACTTTGAAAGCAATAGTTTTGCTGTATGTGTCAGCATAAACTTTTTTTAAGTTGTGTATCATCAAACCAGTTACATTTATATGCTTAAGAAAGCCCACAAAGGGGATTTAGTAACAATGCCACATACATTGGTATAGAGAGTCTGTACTGTCTATAGAGAGTTATCCAAACAACTGTATTGTTTGGCCACAATACAGTACCTCTGTGTATAGTCAGTGAATTGGCTCTCCCAGGAGTTCTCCCAAAAGTTTTTTTTTGGTTATTTTATTTGACAGAGTTTCTTGGAAGTCTGCAAGAAAGGCTGTTGTCTGTAAGCATTAGCAATTGGTCATTGTCTGTCTTCTTTCATTGTTTAGACTTATCTTTTAAAGTTACATGTATTTCTTAATGAAATTCCAAATAGTTATCCAGTCTCATAAAATTAACTTTAAAAATTCTAGCACTAACAACTCTTACTTCCCATTTTGCTGTCAGTTTTTTTTTTAACTTATATTTCAACAGAGAAAAAGATGTGGGATGTGGCAAGGATACTTAACATTTCTTTTGGAGTAAACTGATGCTTAGAAAATGCTAGTGTTAAGAAAAAAAAAAGAAAATGCTAGTGTTTGTTGTTTTTTAAAAGTACTTGTGGTTGCCAGTTCGTCATATGATCCTTTTGTTTACAATTAATGTAAACTATTTAAATAGATTTCCTATTTAGAACTCTCACATTCATAATTTAATAGTAATCTACATTATACCTGTACTCATCCCCTCATGCAAACAGTATCATTGTGATTAAGACATGCAATAAGTATGTTAGATAAAGTTTGCCAAATTCATTCAGAAGTATCCAGTGGTTTTCAGAAATAAACACTAATCTTCAGTATTGTATAATCGCGGTCTACAGTTTCTTGGGATGTGTGTCTAATGGTGTTAACTTCTATTCTCAATCAGCTATTATTGTATGCCTTTTCTGAAGGCTCTGAAATTGTATTCATGAGGGTGTTGGGGTGGGATAAGGGAATAGGAAATTACATACCTGTGTTCTGAATGCCTCTTTGAAGTCCCGTTTTGTGCATTTCCCATAATATGGCTGTTTCATCTTTGATCTTTAAAAAGACTGGTTATTTTAACTCTGGTGTTAATATCATTTATTTGATATCTTAAACTGACTTTCCAAGCTAAATTGATCAACATATTAGCCAGAAAACAGGTGCTAATTTTCAGTAAACAATGTCCATGAAGCAAGCACTATAATTAAGAAAGATCACACAAGGACAAATGTGGAATTAAACTGTTTGAGACATCTGTGTTCTCTGCTTCAAATGTGGAACTGCATAGTGTTTCATTTTACACAAAAGATAACTTTTTTTATTGACTTTAAATTTGGTAAAATGGAAAGTCTTGCTATAATTGAACCAGGAATCAAGATCATCTACATTGTTATCCTTCTAGTCCTATTAATAAATGTTTTAAATAGCTGTAATTTATAGTCTTTAGGATAATATGCAGTTAGTTCATGAATGAGGTAGGAGTTTGAATTTATTCAATTGGAAATGAGTCTTGTAATTTAAAAACAAAAGCTTATATTTTGAAAAATAATGTCCACATAACTCATAACTACCATACTATGAATGTCACAACTATGTCATATTTGTGCTTGACCACAAATTCTGAGTATTCCTAGGAATTTGTACATTTAAAATCACCCATTGCTATTTTCAATATAACAGATGTGGATTTTTTTCAAATAAAAACCTTTCAGCATACAAAGGTTAGCTTGGACATTATGTAGACTTTGTATTGATTAAGGTCTGTGGTCACTGACTGTTTTACTTAAATTCCTCAGACTGCTTGCTTTGTAACTTTTGAAAACTAAGTGTTTCTTTGATCTGGTAGGAAAATGTTCTCCTTTGCAAATATAATCATCCTTTGGGGAGAACCAGTTCATTGGCTCAGTAGTCTTTGATAGAATAGTACCTTTTCCAAATTTGTGAAGTAATAACCTTTTAGGACACAGGTACTTAGCATCTGGGCATTTACTAAAGGGCACGTGTCCATCCTTGGAGAAGCATATCAAAGGGAATGGTCCATCCTCTTCTTCCTTAAAAATAGAAAAATTCAATGCTTTTTACTATGAGTTATTAAATATGATTAGATTCTGGTGTTTTCTTCCAACCTGCTATAATTATGTGAATATATTTATTAAACTTTAATTTGGGTTGGTATAGCATTTTGGCCATTGTTTTTAGAACCTGTGATGTTTCTTATTAATCTAACATCATCTCTAATCTATGGGACACTAATATAAAAATAGTTTATTGTTTTGCTGCCTCAGTGAAAGTAGTATTGTAAAATCACACTTTCATTTACTTTGGATTGGGGTCAGCCATGATGAGAGAAGTTCCGGTACAAATACTTTGGCATGCATTTCTTCCATTTCTTCTGAATAACTGGAATTTTATTATTCTTGATAACTGGGAAGATTGCCAAATACAAATGTTTTATAATACTATGTTCATTTTAAAGTAGTTCTATCAATTTCACCTTTAACTTTAAATCTCCAACACAGTTATTTAAAGGATACTTCCAAAGTGAAAATGTTTTAAGTATCATCATTAATAAGTACAGTTCTTGGAAAATTGAAAACAAATCTGTTTCACCTGTACCCATTCCCCTACCCCCCAGAGGGAGAGAGAGAAAGTAAGGTAGCATCTCTACTGCCAATACCAGTATTTCTATTCATGATCTTTCAAAGTAAGGTTTTTTGTAGACCTCTACACATACTATTTAAGTTACCACTGTTGGAAGGATAGAACTTCTAGTAATAATTTTAAATGTTTTATTTAAATTTGACTTTCTTGTATCTGATATGCATTTGACACAGGAGGAAAAATATTGATTATAATTTACATAAAAGGAACAAACATTAGCAGTCACAGTTTGCCACTATTTCCTTTGAATTAAAAAAAAAATCTTCAGTGACATGAAAGATCTCTTAGATTTTTACATTGTTTACATATTTACATGAAAATATCTTAATCACTTTAGTGCTGATTGGCTGGATTTCCCAGTGCTTATTACTAATGCATCAGGAAGTCTTTACAATTGGCTTTAACGGGATTATTTATAATGGTTGAATTCTCATCATAGTTTGATTTTTGTTTGTTTTTGTTTGTGTTCTTTTTGTTTGTTTTAAGTACTTTTAGCCCTGGCTTGAAAAACAGTCCAGTTGATGAAAGTGAGGTCCAAACAGCAGCTGATAGTCCCTCTGTTAAACCTAGTAAGGTTGAAGAAGAAACTACTCCCACTATTCAAACAGAAACTTTGGTACAGCAGGAAGAGCCTTGTGAGGAAGAACCTGAAAAAGTACTTTGTGATTCTGACTTTGCTATTGAAACGTTTGAAATTGAAACTCAAGCAGAGGAGATTAAAATAGAACTCCCTCTTGTTGCATCCATTCCAGCCAGTACTGAATTATTCACTGAAAATATAGAGGAGTGTGCTTTAAATCAGCAGGTGTATTCCAGTGACTTTGAGAAGGAAGAGGCAGAAATTATGAACCCTGAAACAGAATTATCAACATCTGACAGTGCATTTGTAGAAGAAAAGAATGTCAAAGGAATTCTAGAAGAACCTCCATCTAAGGCAGAAGATTTCTTTGCTGGAATTACACAGTCTATGGCAGAAGCTGTAGCTGAAGTGGATAAACATGAAACTGTTTCAGAAATAGTGCCATCTGCTTGTGTTGTCACCGTAGTACCAGATGACACTGGGGATGAGAAGGCAGTAAGCAAAAAGAATATTTCTGAAAAAAATAACATGGATGAGAAGGCAGAGAATCAATTTAATACAAAGGAAACCAGAATGGATCTACAAATAGGAACAGAGAAGACTGAAAAGAATGAAGCTAGAATGGTTGCAGAAAAATTAGAAAAGATTATGGCAGCAGTAAAAGAAAAACCTGCAGAAAACGTAATCAAGACGTACCCAAATAAAAGAGCGAGTCAGACCAGTAAACCTGATGAAACTGGTAAAACTAGTATGCTGGCTGGATCGAATGTATCTAGCAGCAAATCAAGCATCAAGGTTACTATGGTCCCTTCTAAGGCAAAAGCTACAGCTTCAAAAAGTGAAAATCAGAAAAGTTTTCTAAAATCTGTACTTACAGATCAAATAAATGCTGAAAAGAAACTTTCAGCCAAGGAATTTGGTCTATTTAAAAGTGCCAGATCAGGCTTGGCAGAAAGCAACAGTAAATTCAAACCCACGCAGAGTGGTGTTACCAGAGGAGGCAGTGGAAGGATCTCAGCACTGCAAGGCAAGGATTCTAAATTGGATTACAAAGACATAACAAAACAGTCTCAGGAAACTGAGGCTAGACCTTCCATCAAACGGGATGACAGCAACAATAAGGTGAGGAGAGTAGGAAGAATGGCTCAGTGTGTCTTTGAAGTACTTAGCTCTGCTGCTGTAGCTATGAAGTAGGAGATGTAATCTTGTTTCATAATTGTCATCTCCTCACTCTACCCCCCAAGCTACCATTTCCCTTTCTGAAATGACTCTACTGATCTAAGCCAGTAGACCTTTAGAGTATCAAGTTCAAAGTTCCTAATTTATTAACAGGTTTGGAAAGCATTATTTGTAAAAGAAAAAAATGACTGTGGTATAAAGAAAAAATTGATCAGAAATAAAACTGTGGTTTAACGAAAGTCTGTAGTGAATCTTCTAAGGTGATTTAGCTTTCTCATTCTGAATGGAAAACCCATTTCCTCTTTTAAATTGAAGCTTTTTTATCAGGTCACTGCCCAACTTAGACATTGTGAATAGAGAAAAGTTAAGATATGTAAAACTAAATTTAATTACAACTTTTGGAGGCTATACCTATACTGTTGAATGACTGTTGACTTTTGTTAACTTGTTTAATGTTTGCATAATTGACAGTACTTGGATATTTGCTATTTAAATGTTCCCCCTTTGCTTTCCTCTCCTTCCTTCCCTCTTCTCTTCCACTCTGTCCGGATACCCCCAGTCTATTTTTAGAACATTAATAACCTGGTTGTAAATTGTTTTTCTGTATTTCTTACTTTAATATTTTAGGCTTTGGCCGGACAAAACACTAAGAATTCTAAAAGTACCACTGGTAGAAGTTCCAAATCTAAAGAGGTAAAAAATCATTCATTAACACTAACCCTTCATTACCATCCTTCCATAGCAGAGTTCATCTGTCTTACCTCCCATCTGCCTTATAGTTAATACAAATGTTTACAATGAGAATAAAAAACAGGAATGATATACTTTACTTTTGACCCTACCATTAATCTTTGCATTAATTTACTTTTTTATCTTAAGGTAGGTAGTGTGAATAGTTTATTATTATATGTATCAGCAGCAGATCATTATAAGGAGCCATGCTGAGAATTTATTTTTTTAATGTAGGCACAGTTTTTCAAATTAGATAATTACTTTTTTTAAATGCAGTTGTTTAAGCTAGTAAAATCTTAGTAATAATATTTTTGTATAACTTCCTCAAAAATCTAAACTTCATATCTTAGTATTATATAAGTTAAATATGTATTATGAATAAATTGATGGAGCAGTTTAGCTATTTCTAACTATTTGAGATGCTATGTTAGATATTTAATGTATAGAACAGTAAATTCTTTATATTGTTCAACAGATGCTCAAAAGCAGTGTTTTTATGCCATTATGTTTCATTATTTCCCCATAGGAAATAATTGTAATTTTGTTAAAATTATATAAAAGTGGAATTAGATTGATATTGTTAGGATTACCTTTAGCACTTTGTGAACTATAGCTAATTTATTTGTAGGCCCTTTAAAAAGTAATCCTAATTTTAAACTTTCCACCAGGAACCATTATTTTCATTTAATTTGGATGAATTTGTTACTGTGGATGAGGTTATAGAGGAAGTGAATCCTTCACAAGCCAAGCAGAATCCATTAAAGGGAAAAAGGAAAGAAGCTCTCAGAAATACTCCTCCTTCTGAACTGAACTTAAAGAAGAAAAAGGGGAAAACTTCTGCCCCTCGTAGTGTCGAGGGAGAATTATCTTTTGTAACATTGGATGAGATTGGAGAAGAGGAAGATGCAGATGCACAAGCTCTAGTCACGGTGGATGAAGTAATTGATGAAGAAGAACTAAATATGGAAGAAATGGTAAAAAATTCAAATTCGCTTCTTACATTAGATGAATTAATTGACCATGAAGATTGCATTTCCCACAGTGAACCAAAAGATGTTACCGTTCTGTCAGTGGCTGAAGAACAAGATCTTCTGAAGCAGGAACGCTTGGTAACTGTGGATGAAATTGGAGAAGTAGAAGAGCTGCCTTTAAATGAGTCAGCAGACATAACCTTTGCCACTTTAAATGATAAGGGAGATGAAGGAAATACTGTCAGGAATTCTATTGGGTTCATTTCTTCTCAGATGCCTGAAGACCCTTCTACTTTAGTTACTGTAGATGAAATACAAGATGACGGTAGTGATTTACATTTAGTGACTTTGGATGAAGTAACTGAAGAGGATGAAGACTCTTTGGCTGATTTTAATAACCTTAAAGAGGAGCTCAATTTTGTTACTGTTGATGAAGTTGGAGAGGAGGAAGATGGAGATAATGACTTAAAAGTTGAGTTAGCACAAAGTAAAAATGACCATCCTACAGATAAAAAGGGAGATAGAAAGAAGAGAGCTGTGGACACACAGAAGACAAAATTGGAAACTTTGTCCCACGTGGGTCTAGTAAATGAGAATGTTATGGAAGAAGATTTGAAAACCACGATTGAAAGACACTTAGCAGGTAGATACTTGGAAGTGATAGTTTTCCTGTTTTATGAGGGAATTAATTTTAAAATATATATTATGGCATTACCAATAATTGTACCCTGTATTGATAACTATAAGTCAACAAGCCAGGTACAGTGGGCACACACCTGTAATCCCAACAACTCAAGTAACTAAGGTGGGAAGATCATGAGTTTGAGGCTAGCCTGGGCAACACAGCAAGACCCTGTGTCAAAAAACCATAAGACAGGTAGACCATTATAGCCAATAATGTTTTATAGAAATGTGTACAAATTTCACATATTTCTTTTAGTTATAGAACAGAGCTTGCTCCAAGGTATTATATCTTAACCAATGACAAAACTTAAGAGAACAAGCTAATGTCATCAAATTAGAATGAAAGTGGTATATTTGTATTGTGAGGAACCACAGCTTTTTATGAACAGAAGGATGTTCACACCATATTGGCTTCCAGGTTTTGCCTAAGTTTAGAATTTAGTACAACTCATAAAGATACTATTTTACTTTAAAGTAATATTTTAATGGTAAAGAATAATGGAGCACTCACTTGCAGGACTTAAAAAGAAAATAAAAATAATAAAAAAGGAAATAAAAATTCTTGAAGGATTTAATGCAAACAAGAATAATACATGAGGAAGGACCCACAGGTTTATGGAACAAATTAGAGTAATACTACTACCTTGAAAAAAATATTTGTTTGTAACATGATAGATGGGAACATAGGAAAATGTTTTAACTAAATTGATTATTTTTAATAGAATTCTGTTTTATATTAGAAATACATTTCCTGGGCTGGGGATTTAGCTCAGTGGCTCCACCACCTGCCTCACAAGCGCAAGGACCCGAGTTCGATCCCCGGTACCAAAAAAAAAGAAAAGAAAAGAAATACATTTCCTTCTGAAGTTTAGGTATTGTTTGCAAAAAAAATAAGTTACTTGAAATTTTTATTTAGAAAGTTTATTGTTTAAACAATTTAATTACTGTTACTAGATCAATAAATTAGGCTTTCTGTTTTAAAGCTAAAACACCAGTGAAGAGAGTTAGAATGGGGAAAACACCACCCTCAGAAAAGGTTGTTGCAACAGAACCAGCAAAAGGTGAAGAGGCCTTCCAAATTAGTGAAGGTAAAGCAGCATTGTTGGGTTAGAGAGAGAGCTATACAATATGAGATAGTGCCTGAAATTTAAAAGATTACCACCCAGGAAGAAAAGTAGAAAAGCAGTGAAGTGTAAAGGAGGGAAAAAGACAGACCTATAATTATTAGAGCTAGGTAAGATTTTTATCTTAGTAATTTAGAGAAGTAATGAAACAGTGATACTAGAATGAAATATTTGCGGAAATGATCCACAAAAGGTTACTTTAACTATGTTGCAGTATCAGAAATCCTTCATTAACTATTATTTGTGGATGCTTACAAGAAGCCAATAAATTCAGTGTCTAAATAGCATTAATACAATTCAAGTTGAAATAACAGGGTCCAGCAAAGGATAATACTTCAGTCACTCAGTATTTCTCATTGTGTCCATTATATTGAATACTATCTGCAATAAAGTGATAGAAAACATAGAATAAGAGCAGACAGTTCCTGATCTGAGAGAGTTTATTTGAAGAAGTAAAAAAATCAACTACCACTATGACTTAAATGACACTCTAAGGGTATCCTTTTATACCACTCTTGTTGCAGCACCTTCCATGTTCTCTTGCTCTCCAATTCTATCTGCTTTTAGGAAGAATATCAATCATGATTTGGTCCAAGAACTTCTCATCTGGGCCCTCAGTATTGCCCCACAATCTAGTAGAAGTCTTTCCTTCCTATTTCCTAACCCAGGTATAGTTATCAGCCTTTTCCTTCTGCATCACCTAGCTGGTACCTCACAGGATAATTTTTCATTTCTATTTACCAGAGTAAATGAAGAATCTCCTGTCTGCCAACTTTAGTTTTATCTTTTGTGTTAACTTTCCATCAGACCTGAGAGAAACAATATAAAAGGAGGAGAAGCTTATTTTGGCTTACATTTTCAGAGATTTCAGTCCATGGAAACATGGCTGTGTTGTTTCCAGGCCTTTGGTGAGGCAGTATGTCATACCAAAAGGGCGTGTTGGAGCAAAGCTGCTTACCTTGTGGCAGAGAGAAACAGAGAACTAGTAGGAGGGCCTGGGGACATAATACAGGGTTCAAGGGCACTCCCCTAATGACCACCTTCCTTCAGCTAGGCCCCACTTCCTGTTTCCACCCCCACACTTCCAAAGGCCATCAAATTATGACTCCCATCAGTGGATTCAAAAATTGATAATACAGCTTTCATGATCCAAGCAACTTCCAAAGGCCCCACCTCTGAACACTGCTGTCTTAGGGACCAAGCCTTCAACAGATGAACTTTTGAAGGATACTTCAGATCCATACTAATACCTTCTTTGAATTCTTTTTTTTTTTTTTTTTTTTGGTACCGGGGATGGAACTCGGTTCCTTAGCTTGTGAGGCAGGCGGTGGAACCACTGAGCTAAATCCCCGGCAACCTTCTTTGAATTCTTACACATAAACTTCAGACAAGTCTTTCTCTGGAATCCCTGTAGCTCCATAGCAAGCATCCAGAAGGAAACTATTGTATATCTTTTTCCCATTATTTCTATTTAAACTGGATGTATTTTGGCTTTTTTCTTTACTACATTTCTGAAGTTGATGTTGAACTACTTTGGGCTCTGGTCAAACTTGAATTTTGAGGGGAGCAGTACTGGAGAGTGAACCCAGGATCTTTATACAGTTATATATCCTCTCTTCCACCCTCATCCCCACACCTTTATTTTGAGACAGTATCTCACTAAACTAAGGCAGGGATTCAAACTTACAATCCTCCTGCCTCAACCTCCTGACTTGGGATTACAGGCATAAACCACAAGCCACCATGCCTGACTTCGGACTTGATTTTTAAAATGTTTTTCCTTTTAATTTAGTCTTCAGTTTTCTGCATCATTTGTTACTGTTGATCTATATTTTGAGACTTTCCCATGATCAAGTTAATATTTCTTCCTCTATTTTTTATAGCCAGTCTTTGATATCAGGCTATAATTAGTGGTTTAATAATATGACCTATATCTCCTGGCATGATTTCATGAGTTTTTTTGTTTGGTCCAGAAGCTCTGTAATGATAGGGCAACTTCAACACCAACTTGCCTTGTCTCAACTGTATTTCCATTAAGGAATGATATGCCTGACAAAATGACCTAGCTTTTTTAAAAGGCCGTTTTCCACACACTTTTAAACTTGTGTGAAAATGTAACTGATTTGTCTTAATCTTTTAATAATGATATAATTTTTATATTGTATGTTTTATATTATGTTACGGTAAATATGTCTTTGGAGTAGCAGAAATGGGTTTGTTTGAGGTTTGTTACTCTTGGTAAAAAAGTAAATGGCTATTAGAGACAGGAGACTGAAGTCAGGAAAAGAGAGAAAACCTTTGAAGAAAAAAAAAAGACTTTCTAGGACTTGAAGACCAGTAAAATGTGAAGAATAGGAGAAGTCATAATTTCAAAGTTCCTCACCATCCTCTAAGATTTGGTGAAGAGAAACCCAGATGTGTGGAGGGAACTCTGAACTTGAAGTCACAAGTCTTGATTCAAGTTCCTGTAATTCACTAGCTATGCAGCCTTAGAATTATCAGGTTATTATAGCACTTCTCTTGAGTTTGCTTTCTGTCTCTAAAGAAATAGGGATAATAATGATATGACTTGCCTAGCTCACAAGATAAGAGCTAAATGAATTATTTTTATATAAATGGAGTTTTATAAGTACTATGCAATAAGATATTTTAGCTACTGAGCATAACCAAAACTGAAACTAGTTTCCATTTTTGTCTGCCCCTAAAATTATGCAGTCTGCTAACATTGTTTGCTTGTTACTCACTTTGCTGGGCTTTAATGTTCATAATTTTATTTGTGATTCTATCTTGGGCTATCAGTTTATGCTCTTTTCTAGGTTAGAAGGGCATAAGAATTATTCTCTACTGATATCCTTTTCCCCTAATCTCCACTTTCTCTTCAACCCAGTGCCTTGCATACACAAATTAGGTTTTTTCATTAACTACAGAACTTGATTCTTTCTGGAACTATATATAAATACTCTCTAACTTTAGCTCTTTACCCCTAAATCCACTAATAAATTTGCCATTTATTTCTTATATCAAAGATTCTTAGAGATGGCTTTTGAAGGGTAGTTAGATAGGATTAACCAAGGAAGATTTCCTTTAAATTTAGTCTTTGAAGGTAGGGATTATCCTATGCTAACTTCACAAAAGTCTGTAAATCTATTTTGAATTCCTTTCTTTTTCCATGAAAAATTAGCTAATGAATCTGAATTAAAGGATTCAGAACCAGATCGAAAACGCAAGAAGATTGAAGATGCTTCTTTAGACAAATCAGTGACACCTGATGTCCCTGAAGGTAAAGTAAAAGTGCCATTTTTTCCTTACCCCTATGAAAATATTCAGAACCATAATAATTGCTCTTTTATTTAGAGGAATAGTTGAGTAAGCCTTGCTTGATATTTCTGATGACAGCTTAACTGGGCTATTTTTTACCTGGCAGTATTTTTATTGCATTTTGAAGCCTAAGATAGTTCTCTTCTTTTATTTCTGGTACTTACTTTGCTTCTTTGATGAGAATTGAATTATATTTGCCCAGACAGAAACTCCAGTTAAGCAGAACATGCTGAAAAGCTTAGCTAGTGTACTTTGTTCATGAGCAGCTATGCTGATTGGAGGAGAACCTTATTTGTACAGCCAGCATATTCCAAAAGCAGACATAAGTATATACAATGCTTATTATGTTTGTCATGTTTGGATAAATTGATTAACACAACTAATTGATAAGTTACTGATTTTCTTCCTTTTCCTCCTCCTGTCTCTTCTGGTCTTCTAGATTTAGATTTTCTTGTACCGAAGGCTGGATTCTTCTGTCCAATTTGTTCCCTCTTCTACTCAGGTGAAAAAGCAATGACAAATCACTGCAAGAGTACACGTCATAAACAAAATACAGAGGTAATTTTTAAAAATTCTTAACTTATAAGGATCTTCAGATGCTATTATTATAATTGAACTAATTGAGTATCTTCCTTAAATGTTCATTTTTCTCCTTTGTGAGCACTTTTAAATGTTTATGCCAGTTTATTCCTAAGTCTACAATCCTGTTTTTTCCTTCACTGAACCTTGCCGGTGATTTCTATCCCTTCTTCCTCTTGTTTGAATAATAGCACTTGCCAGAGTAGATTTTCAGATCAGTAGTCTCATATGACACTCATAAAGTGATGAGAAAATATGATACTCTGTAAAGCACTGAGAAACCGCATACCTTAATGTCCTTATTAAAACTTACTAAAACTGATTTAATCACAAAACCGTTTTTTAAAAATTGTGTACATGCTTAGAAAGTACTACTATAGAAAATCATTAGCCATAGTTGAAATTCTGATTTCTCCTGAATGTTTGGGGTTATTTTAGATACCCTGTCAATTGAATTTGATAGATAACATCATTGCATTTTTTTTTTTTCATTGCATTTTTAAAGATGAAGATACAGGTGGGTATGGTAGTGCATGCCTATGATCTCAGCCCTTGGGAAGCTGAGGTAGGGACATTGCTTTGAGTTTGAGGCCAGCCTGAGCTACATAGTGAGACCCTGTCTCAAAAAAACAAAATAGGGCTGGGAATTTAGCTCAGTGGTACTGCGCCTGCCTCACAAATGCAAGGTCCTGAGTTTGATCCTCGGAACCAAAAAAAAAATTAATTAAATGAAATAAAAATAATAAAGGACACAGACTTACAGGGGTTCTGTATCTAATCCTGAGGTCATATAGCTAGTTAGTGATAGATCTAGACCCTCCCCCCCCGCCCCGCGCAGTACTGGAGATTGAACTCACAGCCTTTCAAATGCTAGGCAAGAGCTACATCTCCAGACTTATTATGAACCCAAAGAGCCCTACCTGATCTGATTCTTTCCTGCTACTCTGAACTCAATTTTTAATTACTATATTCTGACTTCTCTCTTTGTTCTACTTTTTATACAGAGGCCCCTTGCTGCCTTTGCACCTTCATATTGCTGTTCCTTTGTCCCCTCCAGTTCTCCTTGCATGGCCAGTTCTTCCTCATGGGTCTCAACTAATGTATTTGCTCCTCAGAAAGAACTTTGCTTAAGAAGGACCTAGCTAAAGTAAAACACTCCATTTCAAAGTAAAACACTCCCCCCATTCAACATAATCAGTTTTTTTGTTGTTATTTTAGAATGCTTACTATCACCTAAAGTTACCTTGTTTATTTTTATTCTTTTGTGCTCTTCCCTCATTAGAATATAAGCTCTATGAATGCAGGGTGCCTTATCTATCTTGCTGATCAATGAATTCTCAAGCATTAAGCATAAGGCCTGGTGTATTATAAAATATCAGAAGACCGATGAATGAAAGGAAGGAATGTTAATATAAGGGACTGTGTTTCTAATCTTTATTTTGTAGTATCAGCCTCTTTTAAATTGTAAATATAATGAAATACATTAGACAGGTTTGTACTTACAGCAAAATGGCATCTAATATGTGTTTCTTATTGCTAATTGCTTTAAACAGAAATTCATGGCCAAGCAAAGAAAGGAAAAGGAGCAGAATGAGGCAGAAGAAAGAAGCTCTAGGTGATTGGGGGAAAGGGCAAAGAATTCATTAGAAATTCATTTAGGGTCCAGTTGATTTGTGTATTTTTGTTACCATTTAATTTGTAATTTTTTGTTTCAGAAGCAAATATTCATGTTGTACAAATTTCTGATTGCCCTTGATGTAGAAAGACTAATGGGAAAAGTATGATGGGTTTGATTTTTATATCAAATCATCAGGCATGGAGAAATATCTTTTAGAAGTGTTAAAATAAATGTTCCTACTGTATATTTAAAATACCATTTTGTGTTTGTGGCTGATTTATTTAAGATTTGATGGCCTGTGGTTGCAAACAAGGCTCTTTTCTACAGCCCCTGTGATTTAGGATGTTTGGAAATTCTAAAGATACTGCTCAAGTCATAGCATGACAATATTTTACTGTTTCAGCCATCTCTATGTGTAGGTCAAAAATTTCCTAAAATGCTTAGTTTTTCTGGATAAAATCATGTTTGATCCAGGTGTGTTTTGAGTAAAACACTGCTTGTTTTTTGTTTTTAATATTACCTTTGTGCTTTTAGTACTGAGGATTGAACCCAGGGCCTTTGTGCTGAGCTGCATCCCCAGCCCTTTTTATTTTATATTTTGAGACAAGATCTTAAAGGTTGGGCTCAAACTTGTAATCCTCTTACCTCTCTCTCAAAGACCTGGGATTACAAGAATGCAACACCACACCTGGCTTATATCATTGCTTAATTTTTAAATTAAGGTACTCTTAAGAATACTCAGAGCCAGGAATTTAGCTCAGTGGTTCCGCCGCCTGCCTCGCAAGTGCAAGGTCCTGAGTTCGATCCCTGGTACCAAAAAAAAAAAAAAATACTCAGAAGGTAGTCTTTCTGCTTCTGGCAGACACCTACTATGTCTTCCAGCAACCATTTAAATTAGCACCTAAGAAGTCATTTAGTATTTGCTTACCATCTACAGAGCAGCCTTAACTTTCTATGAACTGTCAGTGATTCTTTTTAAACCCTATTGATTATGATTTAACACGTTCGTAAGAACTTGTAAAGGTACCAAGATAATATAATGGATGGTTACTAGGTACTGGATGTAGCCCTTTATTGTAAGTTTTTAATTAGGCCATACTTCACACATGTGTCTGCTGACCTGTGAATTTAGTGTCTGATTCATCAGCTCTTCCAAGGTTAGCATTTACCAGTTAATAAAAGACAGTAAATGAAGGGAAAGAATAATAAAACAACTTTTTTAGAACTTTTACTATCATCATGGCACAAGAGTTGCCTCACAGCCAGCAAAAAGTAGAGTGAAAATCTAGTCATGGTAGTGCACACCTGTAATCCCAGTACTTGGAAGGAGGCAGGATGATTGTAAGCTCTAGGGCTTGATTGTAGCTCCTGGGCTACATAGCAAGTTCAAGGCTAGCCTAGACTACATAGAAAGACCCTGTTTCAAAAAAGAAGTGAAGTGAATTGGAGATCAGAAACCAGCATCTTTTTGTTAGTGCCTATCAGAATCACTGCATACTCAGTTCAAGCTTAGTCACAGCCTAGGAAACATAACAAAATGCTACGTGCCACAGATCAGGAAGTAGAATGGTAAAGAGGGATAACTTGTGAGTGTCAAGTGTCTGTTGGTATTAAAACTATATAAGTAAATGAGGTAATAGGCCAGAGAAGAATTTTTAAAAGGCTGGAGATGGGGTCAGAGATCTAGCTCAGTGGTTCTCCTGCCTGCCTTGCAAGCACAAGGTCCTGAGTTCAATCCCCAGTACCAAAAAAAAATAGCCTAGAGAAACAAACAAGTTGCCACAAATCAAAGCACCACCAGAGTCAGAGTGAATAAATATCTTCTTTTCCTCTTGGGCCCACTTCTGAAATTTTTGTAACCAGGGAAGTTATAAATGTCTTTAATCTTAGCTGGATCAACTTTGGAGTCTATTCCATGAGAAACACTTTATTTCCTTCTAATTATTGGGGAGGCTATTTTGTCTTTTGGAATTGGGATCCTAAATTAGATTAACAGGAATTGCTAAAGCATAAAATTAGTGGTGGTGGTGGGGTTGTTTCATCCTAGTGACTTGATATTGACAGTTAATTATGGATTACAGTTAATTATGTTCTACTTTGGTGTTTTTTGTACCTAGTGATGGCAATTTTTATCATGGGACTTCACATATAGAAAATTTCTTGTGAGTTTTTTTTTAAAAACTACACATTCTTTGCATATAATTTTTGATTTGTTATTGACATTTTCAGAAAACCTTGAAATACTTTGCTTTATACATAAAGAATACATGTTCATAGTAGTTTCTACTTATTAGTGGAGTTAAGGCATGTTAATTTGGATTGGAGCTTACTTTTGAAAGGTTTTTGTTTTTTGATACAGGATCTCACTTTGTAGTTCAGACTGGCCTTGAACTCACTAAGTACCCCAGCCTGGCCTTGATCTCAAGGCAATTCTATTGCCTCAGCTTCTCAAGTGCTGAGATTATAGCCATGCGCCACCACGTCCAGCTAAAAGTTTGTGTTATTTCATTATGTGGACAACAAAGCAAAAGCAGATAGCGTTCATCTTGACCCCCCAAAAAGCATTTTTTTTTTAAAACTCAGGACCCTGTGCTTGCGAAGCAGGCGGTAGCATCACTGAGCTAAATCCCTGGCCCAACCCCTAAAATTTTTCAGATTTTATTTCCTTTTCTGTTATTGAATGCGCTGGACACTTGCCTCTCCAAAACTGTTATTTTATAATTATTTTTTTAAAACATTTCAGGAGAGTGAGGTTTCTAAAACTTAAAATTTCGTATTATTTCATTGTGGAAAATATCAAAAGAAGAGGATAATTTTATCCTGGGTATCCTCATATACTAATTACAATTATGGCCGGACAGGGTGATGCATACCTGTAACTCCAACACCCTGGGAGTTTAAATCAGGAGGACGACAAGCTCAAGCCCAGCCTGGGTAACTCAGTGACTTTTTGAGATGCTGTCTCAAAACATAAAAAATAAAAGGATTGGAGATACAACTCAATGTGAAGGCCCTGGGTTTAATTTTCCAGTACTACAAATAAAACCAAAAATTTACCAACTTGAGCCCAATAAGTACACACACACACAGACACACACACACACACACAAAGCTGTACTACCAACTGCCTTGTGTTAATTTAAAGTAAATCTGAGCATATTATTTTGCCCATAAATGTTCCATTGTATATTTCTAAAAAGTATAGGTTCTTAACCAATATTAAAAATAATCTCTCAATCAAAACCCTACTTTAGATTTTCAACTTTTTAAAACTATGTCTGAATCCAGACCCAAATAAGATCCATTGGTTGGTTGATCTTTTAAGTTGCACAGTTCATGGTTCTGGTGCCTGCTTCGCAAGTGCAAGGTCCTGAGTTTGATCCCCGGCACCCAAAAAATAAATAAATAAATAAATTGCATAGTTCAGTACAGGTATGTAGGTTTTAGTCTTTCTCCTAATTTATTTGATAAAGAAACCACGTACTTAGTTTTGCAAAGCAGTGCTACACAGAATGTGGTCTTTGGGTCTGGAGCTTAGTGGCAGAGTGCTAGCTTAGCAAGCACGAGACCCTGTGTTCCACCCCTAACACTGGGGAGAAAAATGTGATTTCCAGATGCAGTGTCAATTCATAAACTGTTACTATTTGTTTTAGTTACTTTTTCTCATTACTGAGACAAAATACTGGACACTCACAAGTTAAAGGAGCAAAGGTTTATTTTGGTTCATAAGTTGTAGAGGTTTCAGCCCATAGTTGGCTGGCTCTGAGGCAGGACGACATATCAGTGGGGCATCACAGAGGATAACCAGTTCATGGTGTAGCAGGTAGAGCAGCAAACAACAAGCAGCAGCAGCAGAAGTGAGTCTGTTTATTCCTTTTATCCTTTGCTGGCTATAAACCTTTTGAGTGGCACCACCCACATCCAGGATGGGGCTTCTGCCTTCACTAAATCCATTCAGCCACACCCAGAACTACACTGTTCCACGCAGTGGACTAATTTAGTACCACACACCCTAATCCCAGTATCACACACCCTAGATCCACCCAACTCTGGCAGACCCCACCTATGAGCACATGAGGCTTTAAGGAGACATCTAGATACCAGGCCGTAACAGTTTATAAGTGCAGAAATTTAGAAACGTTTTATGGTGATTTTTGTTTCTCTGACTGTTGAGTCTAACAATTAGAAAATTGGCTTGGTGTGTTTTATTGAAGGGATTTTGTTTCATTTTTGTGTATTGTTTAAGTGTTAGTCTACAGTGGACTGAAAATTAGGGAGAAGAAACTGATAGGCACATAGTTTGAGAAGCACTGCTGACAGATTTCCCTGGGTATGGATTTTGTTGAATTACAGCCCTGTTGTAGCTTTGTTCCTTGTCCTCTGTATTCTAAAGTTTATAAGTTGGTAGTTGAATATAGACATTCTATTGGAATTTGGCCCTTTTTATTTTGTTTCTGCAAGGCTGTTTCAGGCAGTGGTACTTCCTGATCAGGAGGCACAAAATACCTGATTGTTTTCTGTGGAATTTTATTACCAGTTGATGCTTACTACTGATGCATTTATTAATCAAAGAATAGTAATTTTAATTCTGTTCCTTCTTCATGTATAAGTTGGAATATTTCTTTGGAGATACTCCTTATCTGCTATTTGATTATTTAGTGGTATAGTTTATGTAAGAAAGAAATGATAAATGTTAGATGGTTTTCCTTTGCCAATTTTTTCAGAATGAGTTATTATACCTAAAATGAGTTAACTGATAAATTCTTTTTTTGAAATGTATGAACTCATGAATTTTTTAACACCTCATGTTTCCAAATGCAGTATCAGTCTTATTGATGGCCTGACTATCCTGTTTGATTCCTAATTTCTTACAACATATGACACTGCTAGTTTGCATAGCTTCCTTGCTATCTGTATATCAAAGCTATTTCAGAAATAAAACGTTTCCTGCCCCAGACCTGAAGTCAGCCATTTCTCTAAGAAAGAGTAGATAATTAGGGATGTTTATTGCTTTTGATTTGGTCATTGCTTTTCAGTGGATGGAATTTGAAATATGTTTTGTTTTTAAGATAAAATTCATCATTCCCATGTTGATTCTTCCAATTCAAATTTAGGATTTAAGGGTTTTGATTAAGAATTCCAATTCATGAGCTGGGTATGGTGCATGCCTGTAATCCCAGCACTAGGGAGGCCAAGGCAGGAGGATCATCTTTAGTGCAAGGCCAGCCTGCATTACTAAGCAAGACCCTGTGTCAAAA